TAGAAGCGCTCTCATTCCTCGTCCGACGTTTAACTGTGACTCCAAAGTCCTCCTGAATGGTTACAGTTCGGCTGCCCTGAATTTATTACTGTGTTATTAGAATGTTGGGAAGATAAATCCAGTGCTGTGTCTTTGATGGCAGCACCGTGTCTGAGATTCATTACCCTTAGTGTGGATAATCGGTGTGTGCCCTGGGGCGATGCGTCCACTGGGCGCTTGTTAGCGGTGCCAGGGGGTCGTCTTTCCCCCTCTCCCCAGGCCTGAAGCAAGTTATGTGTTACGGTCCGTCGTTTGTGGAAACCAGGGGTTATTGATACGCGGGCTTGAGTAGCAGGTGGCAGGGGTTGTCTCGACTTAAAAAAAAAAAAAACTCGCCAATTTACATGCGTGGCGCCCTCTTTTGGCACGCTTCGAAGTTGTCTAAAGGAAATTTGAAAAAAAAATCCTTATTGAATTTAATTACAACACTGTCTTGCACATTACTACCAAAGACCCATGATTTTTTGAACAAAAAGGATGACCGTGACACTCTTGGCAACCATCTGCACTAAGAACTGGTTTTAGACAAACTGATGGGTGGATCTTTCTTGACGAGTAAACAAAATACTCCAAGACGTCATGTGAAAAAAAAGTCAATTTAAAGGTCACTTGGCGCAAGACTTGAATAGTGCTCGTTGATTTTTGTTCTTTTGCTGTTTCGTTTCTTGCAATAGGATAGTGTGAGCTATTGAATTTTTTACTAAAAGTGAATGCGTATTTTAGTCTCAAAGGCTGATTTTGCAAAAAATTTTGCAATGCGAGTGGAGCCTGTATGGTGTGTGTATTCTGCAACAGATTTACTGCGTCACAGTACGGGAACTCACCAACATATTTTTCACCCGTCTCCGGTTTTTATGTCTCTATATAAAACATAACCACAGACCGGCTTGCTCGGCGGCGTTCTATGCTGGTGTGGATTTCAATTTAATGAGGACGGTTAAGCCGACTAAGGAAATCAGCGGCAGTGGTTAACTACCGGCTCCTTCAAGACGATCAATCTTTGGGGCTAGTCACCTGTCGACTAAGGGGTAAAACTGCAGAAAGCTCTAGGGGCCACCCTGCATGAATTATTTGATCAGGTCGGGCCTTCCGACTTTGGGGTGAGATAATGCTGCAGGCATGCCAACAATGGCCCAATGTTATAAGAATGTGCTGCTTCTAGTTGAAGTCCTCATGCAAGAGTTGCGTTATTCCAGCCAGTGGTTTATCATTTTCTGAGATGGGGTGAACTTTTTTTTTTAGCCATCGTGTTCGCACGTTCCAGGAGACTTTTGGAGGGTTGTTGTTGTTGATCGATTTATCGATGATTACGGTGACGATAGTCACGGATATGGCCATGATGATTGTGATGATGATGCCGTATGCTTGTGACAGCAAAGACTGTGAGCAGGGAAATCGATAGTCGTGATAATGATTATAGTATCGATAGATTTGGTCGTGACGTAAAGCAAGGGATGCTGTTGTATGCATTGACATTACCAAATGTAATATCGATGTACATTAAGGGATGGCGAAGTTGATGTTGATGATGAAGGGGACACTGATAGTGATGACATTGATGGTGATGAAATGACGACGACAACAGAATCTGGGTGACACCTGCATGTCTGCCAATACCCAGGACATGAGCACGATAATGTGCAGCGACAAAGCAATGATAAAGTACTGTTGTCAGCGACGAAGATTTTCTGGTCAAACTCACAGTTGTCTCGCAGATGGTCGTAGGCCTTAACCGACGACGGTGAAAAGTCAGTGTGCCCGATTCGCTTCCTCTCAAATCTGAGATCATTGCACCCTCTACCTTCCGTCATCAAGAGATAATAAGATGGCATCTTTACTGATGGGCAAATATTGGACTGGTCTTTTATCCTCCACAGCAAGTAATCAAAGCTTGTAATTCGCGTTGACTGAGCGGAAGCCTCCCCCGCTTGCCTGCGGAATGTTGTCGTGATTGTCGTAGAGGACTAAAAATCCTGTCAGCACGGTTATCCACCGTCTGGTAACCTGCGTAATTCGGCCACTCAAGACTTGCACTGACTCGGGAACTATATACGGGGCTGTACGACTGCAGACCAACAAAGAAATCTCGACAAAAATATTGATGTAGCAGTCTGGATCAGATACGATGAGCCTTGTACCATACTGACGGATATGCTGGAAAAAATACTTTAAAAATATCTGCTCAACAAGTTGTGGACATATTGAACTTCATCGGAGTATACAAACTTTCTGCCTTCTTTGGAGAACCATCTTTAAAAGTTCGCCAACAAATTAAGTCAAACTAACCAACAACTGGGCTAAATACACTGTCTGCTTAAATATGCAAATCGCGTCAGCATATGACAGTACTATTCGCTCTTTGCACGCTGCCACCAATCTCGCGGCTTTATACAATAAATAAAGCCGGTTCAGTGATTTCTGCGTATATTATTGCTTATGTAAATTTGCGCGCGCTGCATTAGTTCTTTTTCCATGCGATTTGAATGTTTGGACAAAACAATTCTGACGCGATTGTACAAGCTGCCAGTTCGAGGATCAGCAAGCTTATTATATGGTAGCATCGTGCGGAGAGCGAAACGTGGGGCAGACCCACAGACATATAAACGCATTAGCCGTCAGGTCCTATTCAAACCTACAGGTTTTTTGCGATCTGCGCGGCGCCCGACTAAATCAAACCTATGGGTAAATTTACCCCCCGGTACAGGGAATTTACGTACAGTTGAAGAATTCCAGCCTTAAAATTCTATGAAGCCATTCTTCCATTGTATAAAAAAAAACCTCTATTTACTTAATCTGGCCCATAGGGATTCGAAACAATGCGGTTGCAACATTTGAAAAGAAGGGATAGCAGTACCGAAGAGCCAAAAAGGTGAATGTATTTGGAAGCACATGTAAACAAACGCAGGCAATGTAAGTGTGATGCGTGTTATGCGCACTGGACGCGTTGCCATCCACCATTCGTCCCATTGTTTGCCCATGTTTTTCAAAATCAGGGTTTTTACCCGCAAAACTGGCTCTATGTGTTTACATGTCTGTGGGCAGACCCCTTGGGCTGTTATCGCCTTTCCCGAGTGACCTTGGACGCCCTTTGTTTTGGACATACGCTGTTGGAATACCGAACTGGCCTTTTCTGCTTAACATGGTTTCGTGGAGGGGAAGCTCTGTGCATAGCGCCATACTCTGTGAAAGTGGCCTTTGTATTTCTCAGGCCGAGGCAAAGGCTGCGTCCAAATCTCTTCACTGTGGCTTGATATCACACACCACTCTATGGGTACTGGCTTCAGCCACTACTGCAGACTCCTGGATCCTGTACAATTTCAAGCATTCTGCAACGATGTATCATGTAGGCCTCTTCTGCTGTCGCAATCACACTCTCTGGCTGGGGCAGATTTGTCGCGGAGCGGTTTTCCTTCCCCCCGCCGTAATCGAGCGCAAATTAGGAGAATTTTTCGGCACTTTTACATTTCGGCTCTAGCTATCAAGAGGATCCTTGTCGAGACGACTTTCCCTGGTGTCAAGGCACAAAAAAGAAGGAGGGGGGGGGACAAAAATCCAACTATTGAGCAGACGGAATAAGCATGACGGCGGGGACTCCGTGCAGAAATCTGGCCCGGCCCGCATCGGCGATGGCAGGCCCCAATTGAAACCAGATGAGAAAGCGATGATCGCCAGCGCTCCTGGGCCAGGTAAAGGTCACGGGAGAACATGTTGCATCGTGTTGGGAGCTTTCATTCGACTGTTACATTTCTGGTTCTCCAATTTGTTGTCGGTCGTCCTTAAGCCAGCTGGACTGATGACAGCAATAGGCTCTCGGTGGGAAGGGTTGGAAAGCCATTATTTCTTTCGTGCTTTTTTTTTTCCTTTTAGTCCTTAAAAGCTTCCATTTTCCCCTGACCCAAAGAGTATCCATGCATGTACAGCGTGCTTATAGCTACAGACATTTCACACCGTTGGTTTGAACTCACGAAGGAACTTTATCTTCTTTCGGTCTGTGCTTGACATATTCACACTGACTCATTCAAATGATGGGAATAATGCATTTATTGCCGATTTCTTGATCGAGAATATTTACCATATCAATTAGAAGTTCCAGACTAAGGCTTTTTGACTGTATTGTCTACACGTGGACATGTTTTTCCTCGATGATGTAGGCCTATACGGAACGCTGCTGTGGTCTGGCACCCTTGGCTTACAACTCGGGCCCCATTTCACACTGATGGCAAGGTCATTGGTCATTGCAGAAGGATAATTAATAGGAGAATCAGTCAAATTTATGCAGTGCCAATCCCACTGCATTTCAGCTGGTCACTTCGTTGTGTTTCCACTAAGCAATGCCGTTTCTTTGCTTGGATCACATTTTCATGCTCACAAAAGCGCCCAACCTTTATGAATGAAAGGTTCAAGACCGCCTTTGACTATAAACAAATTTTGTTTGATTGTGATCTCTATACCTTCCGACTCAAGGACGTTGTTTAAACGAAACAAGAACTGGAATTAGATTAACATTTCTTCAGACCGTATTCTCTTGTCAAACACCGCACTTAATTCTGTTTAAAACAAGGACTTGCCTCCAATCTGTAGTAACTGAACTCGTCATTCACGAAGCTTAGATTTCCCGCGCAATTCCATGGCTATGGTTTAAGTGTGAGTGACTTGGAAACATTCCCAAAGAAAGTTTGGACGACAGAGGGCAGTGTTTTATCCCATGCAGAAAACACAACTTTGGCCGAAAGAGGGAAAGTAAGCTTACGCCAATCAAAATCTGTAATCTGTGTGCCCAAGTTTCATGGAACCCGTTTAGAAAACGGCAGTCTACTGCTGTGATTTTCATCTATAGAACATATCTATAGAAGGTACAAGTCAGAGTCATTTCGCCCTTTGTAAATGCTAAAAACTTGTGAAAATCCCTAAAAACCATTACTATAGAAATCCTTTTTTTCTTTGTTTTCTTGTTCAAACAGACGAATGTTTCCGACGTTTCAGGTCAAGATCTCGGGAATGGATCCCATGGCGGAATATATACTCATGATGGATTTTGTCCCGGTAAGTCACCTAATCCTGTATTGATTCTTCATTGATGATCGATTCTTCTTTCCAAATTGGACAGTGAAAGGTACATTTTCATGTTCTTGAATTCCTTTTTGAGACGAGATATCACGCTCACAGGGAAGTTTGGAAACAGAGGCAGTTATTGTTACTTTCCAAATCCTTTTAGTTTTTAAATACAGTACATTAATTTTTCATTGAACCTTTCAGGTAATGTAAGTTTTACCCAGAATTAGACAGGGAAAATCCCGAAAAAAAGGTTTACGTTGAACAAGATAATTAGTAGCATCAATGTTATCCCATAGTATGAACATTGAGAGTGTTCATCGTGAATCGGCATATCTTGCATACACTGGAAATACTTTTAGTCATCACCCCCAAAAGAAAAGTTAAGTGTCCTTCTTCTCTTCTCTTCTCGGCCACACCACTTTCCAGCATTATAACCCAGTCTGGGTCGCTGTGCTCTGATGCAATTAAGCTCTCTTATCGCTCGCAGTCATTTGTCTTTCAAAGAGGCCCATCTTTGGTTCTCCTTCCCAGGTAGACGACAAGAGGTACCGGTATGCCTTCCACAGTTCAAGCTGGCTCGTGGCGGGCAAGGCCGATCCGGAGATGCCGGGCCGTATCCACGTCCACCCGGACTCGCCGGCCCGGGGCGCTATGTGGATGAAACAGATCGTGTCCTTCGACAAACTCAAACTGACCAATAACCTGCTGGACGATAATGGCCACGTGAGTACTCCTCGTCTTCCTTTTAGCTGGGAAACTTGACTAATTTACTGTGTGGAGTGGGAGGTGAGGAAATGGATTCGCGACGCACACTTCATTGCATTGGTTGCAACATAACGTCTGGTTCCGAGACTTTTTTTGTACAAAACAACCGCCCGTACCTTCAAACTTTGTGACCTCAAATGACAAATGCAGACAGAGCAGATTTTTTGAAAGCCGCCCACTGTTTTGACAAGGCAAGTACTACCCAGTAAGTGGTACTTTCTATTGCCTTAGTGGTTCTCGAGACATTTTGATCCTAAATATTCCGATCACAAGTGGTTACTCTGCAAAATTACGGGTGTTTAGGTTTCACATGATGCATTTATTAGTGCGAAAGAAAGTCCAGATCAAACTAATTGCCGCCAGTTAGTCTGCACACTTTTTGCGTGGTTTTTCTCATTACTCGTACATTACTCGAATTTCGGAGTCGAGGCCTGCTACGGCTTGCCAAACTAAGCAGGATATCTGGCCCAGTCCCAAAAGAGGCACCTCTGGCGAGTCCCAAGTCAGAGTAAATGCCCCACGCTGGAAATAACAAGCAGCCGTCTCTTCGGAAGCCCCAAATTATTCCTGCGCTGTCTTAATGCTTCTGTTTATATTACTGATATCTGGCATCCTAGACCTTCGGGGTTTTTTCTCCCCTTCAGTTTTTGTTTTCCTTTCTGTCGTGCAGATTATCTTGAACTCCATGCACCGCTATCAGCCGCGGTTCCACGTGGTGCACGTGAGCGGTCGGAAGGACTTCGACGACGCGCCGGAGCGGGACTTCAAGACGTTCATCTTCCAAGAGACGCAGTTCACGGCCGTGACTGCTTACCAGAACCATCGGGTGAGTCACAGAGGAAAGGGAAAGGGGAATAAACAGGGCAATTGTCTCCGGAAACTATGAACGGGATTCCAATTTCTATCATAAAATTGATTCTACTTGTAAATACTTCAGTGATATTAGTTAACATAATATGGTCACGGGCAGCTGCTAAAAGCTGGACAGACATGAAGGAAAAATGGTATTAAAGGGTCTTAATTACAAATGATTTTTGAAATTACTTCGTTTTGTTGTTTGCTTTAATTAACGGCCGAACAACTTCTGCAGTTAAACAAACTTCAGATTGGATCCACTCCGATATTAGTTTCACATGGTTCGGTACGGTACGCACCACTCACGTAATTTCCGTCCGTCATTTCTCGTCATCGTCGGAGAAATTGTCTTAATAAGTTGATCCTGTCCGAGTGTATCCCATCGCTCATCGCTAGATGATGCGTGGTAACTCCTATGCTGTGCGGACATCTTGGGGGATTAGGCATTATTACACAGGACACCCCGTCACACCTGCGCAAGCCCCCTAGCGGGAAAGGGGGTTAGTTCGATAGGGGGAACTAATTACACTCCAAGGGAATGTTGAAGGGACTGCTCCTTCCTGTAGAAGATGCGCAAGAGCAAAACGAGAAAAACGAATGAATGTATTCAACCTTTTCGATGCGAGTTGTTCATAATTGAAAGGGGATCTCCGTTGGTTCCGTGAGGCGGGTTTTTTATTGAGGCATCCCCCATCTCTCGTTCCATAAGATGTTGCTCATCGACGTTATTTGTTGAGGGAAGAAAAAGTGGGAAATAAAAAATAGATAAAATTATCTTTAATGATTAGACAAATTAATTTGGAATTTCATAATGAACTCTGATGGGTTTTATTTGGACTGTGTCCTTAATTCCTTTTAGATAACTCAGCTGAAAATTGCGAGCAACCCATTCGCGAAGGGATTCAGGGAATGCGACCCGGACGATTGGTGAGTGTTCTCCTCTTCACAATAACCATTTTGTGTTGGTCTTATTTGTTTAATTAAAAATCGAACCACAATTATATCCGTAGTCCGCGCCTCTTTAAACAATGAACAGAAAAAATGACGAAAGATTGAGGAGTCGTACGTTTCAAGACTTGTGTGAAAACAAGAGTGTCAGAATTTCGTTATCTTTGTATTTTTTTTGTAAATGTACCATGCTACTTCATGACAACTTGAAAAGAACCCATGAAAAAAGAAACATCGGTGATTTTTGGTTTAACTGCCACGCAGCGGGAGTCATGGCAGGATTTGAATTTTGAATTCATGTATCAACATTTCCCAAATAAATTTTTATTTTTGGGCCCCTTTAACTACCGTTGTACGTTACCGTAAAACAAAGGCACTCCTTTGATTTTTGTGGAGAAGAAAACTTAAAGTCGCAGGCATTTAAAGCTCCAGTTTGAAATCAATCAGTGTATTTTTCCCCTCAAACTTGAGTACTTAATCTGCGCGCTCGTGTGTGAAGTAAAGGCCGTCAAGAAAAGATGGCAAACAAACATCTTAGTTGTCAGCGGCTTGAGGTCATAAACACCACCCCCCTCACCTAGCCGCAGATATTCCCGATGATTAATTTATTGCCATAAATCTGTTTCTCCTACCCTTCTTGTTTCTTCTGTTTTATTTGTTTTAGTATTCGGGCATCGTCTGGTCTTGTCAACACACACCAAGGCTCAAGGTATTATTTAAAAAAAACGGAAATTGAAAGCCTGACAAAAGCCTGTTGCAAAGTCGGGCTTGTTTTTTTTTTCTTGTATTAGTGTCATATTATTTTTCCCCCATTTTAATGAGATGAGGTGTGGAATTTGACCGTGAAAGGCATATAACCGTTCGGCGGGAGACTGCTGAATGATTCACCGCCCCGTCACAAATTCCTGGTGGAGCTATAAACGGGATCAGCAGAATTGGTACTCAAGTTTGAAGGACTGCAACAAATATCCCTCTTAACCATAAATCATGTTACATACAATTATATATTTCAAAACGTTTGTGAAAAAAACTTGTAGAAATATCCCGATCTCTAATCGACGTTATAAATTTTGAAATGAGAATAAATTATGCCAAGGCTCCATTCATCTGACTAGCAAGACAGTGGGGTATTTTATGCTCGCTAAACTCTCGTTTTACTCGTCTTTCCCCCATTCTAATATTATTACTATTATTCCCCCATTCTAGGTATTTTTTGCTCGTTAAACACTTATTTTACTCGTTTTTACCCTTTTCTATTATTATTCCCCCATTCTAGGTATTTTGTGCTCGTTAAACTCTCCTTTTACTCGTCTTTACCCCTTTCTATTATTATCCCCCATTCGAGTTATTTTATGCTCATTAAACTCTCGTTTTACTCGTCTTTCCCCATTCTAATATTACTACTATTATTAATCCCCCATTCTAGGTATTTTGTGCTCGTTAAACTCTCCTTTTACCCGTCTTTTCCTCCATTCTAGTATTATTGAGATACTTCCCCACAGCAATGGCCCAAGGACACGGAACCATCACCGTCCCAGCTCCCTACAGATCGTGGGCATCAGCCGGAGTAGGCCCCTCACACACCGGCAACAGACAAACGAACAAAGTGAGTCTAGCCTTGGACGATGCTATATATAAGAGCATTCGATGCAAAAGCAAAATAGTGACAACAAAATGTATCGAATAGTGTGTGACATCTAAATTCCCAAATCCACCATTCTGGTACCGTACTAGTCTCTGCATGGCGTATTTACATCCATATTAAACCTCAATTGGAAGAAAATTCTATTTCGCAAAGGCAAGTAGCAGGTTGCAAACAATAGCTAGCTACAGGCCTGGACTCTCCTCGTTTGCAAGTCACTTGAAGTGACAAATGACAGTCTGGGCTTCAAAACTCCCACGCTGACAATACAGCGAAAGTGAGGACATGTCTAACTTGTAGCCTTTAAAATCTCTTGTTGCTTGCACTAGTTTGACAATCAGTGTTCTACGTGTGAAAGAATGGTTAACATTGTTCTTCCTTTGGAAGTTTTCCATCATTCAGAACCTGCGCGTATTGCCACTGACAAACTCAAGCCGGAACATAAACGATTTCAAATTTCACTGTGTGGTCACTGCTTATATTGCTCTCACAGATTCTGAAGCGAATCGTGGTACAACAGCCGCCTCGGTGTCCCCTCCCATGACATCAGAGCCCTCCAACACCCTTCCCAGCTCGCAGCTGGTCAACCCCAACCCCAGCTTCCCCGACCTGGGCCAGTCGCCGATGACCAACGGCACCTGCGCGGCGGACACCTACCCAACCTACCACCCGGACAACCAGTACAGCTACGGTCCCAGCTGCTACTTCCGGTCCAACACGCGGCCCACCCCGTACTCCCGCGACGTGTCGTACATGAGGGACACGCGGTACTGTGGTAACGGCCTGGGTTACATGGGGCGAACGAACCCGCAGTTCGCCTACGACCCCTCCACCATGATGGGTGGGATCGATCCGCGGAGGAACTACACCCAACACATGGTCTGATGACTACCGGAACTGCTTTCGTACAGTATTCATACGAACTATGATTACAAAAAGAGATATGATGGCTATTGTAGATACCGCCGTTTGCTCGCGCAATAATCATGGCAACCATTCGGGGAAACCATCTTATCAACAATTATTAGTGATAGTCGAAAAAAAGTTCCATTCACATTTTTCAACAAAAGAATATATTATTATAAAGGTCTTGCATTTTCTTAAAATAAATCTTATGGCCTAATATACAACATAGAAATAACATTCAAAATTACATTAATTGGGGATTCTTCAATCAGAGAGTAATGCAGGTTTATGTTATTCGTTTTGATTGGTCTTCAACCCAAGCACGTGACTTTGAATGGTTTTAACAGACACGCCAAGCAATATTTCGGCTTTATTCCTTGAATTAGAATGTGTTAACATGTCGAGCGAGTGCTATTGAACAAGAACCTTTACCTAGTTTGTTTTTGAAGGTCTTGAAGCGGTTAAATGCAAAATAAATTGAGTATTATCAGTCGTGGACCATCTGCGCCAGTTACGCTCCATGATAACAGAATTTCCTCCAGAGGTTTCGATTCAGTTGCCATGGGAATTGGCGAGTCACAGCAGCTGTTTTGCTGGACGGCCTATTCCGTTAAAAAAAAATGTGCGATCAACTGCGAAGTGCCAAGCTGGTGCATGCATGTTGGCAGGAGAAGTAAGTTTGGGGGAAAGGAGAAGTTTTAGGCGATGACACCCCAGAGAACCGGTCGACTTTTGTTTGGGACAACTCCACGCCGAGCCCGACTGGTGATATTGGGACGTGTGAAGTGTGGTTGGATATTATTCGACCAGATTTGGTTGAGTTAGCACGCAGACGGTGAACCTGGAGCCAATGTCACGGAGAAAGAAAAAAGCCGCGCGGCACGAGGGAACCAGGCGAGACTGGAAGCACGAATCGACGGGTGAAGAATCACTTCGCACCCGGCGCCTTATCATCATCATCAGGATCGTCATTAGCATCATCGCCCGTCGTCTTCATCCGTCCCGTCATCATCGACTGCCATCCATCCACCTCTTAAGTCAGGCACGGCCAGCACGTGATTAGGAGTCCAACACACTCAGCCACCCGTTGACAAACACGGATTGTACATGTAACTTCTCCGGCCAGAGACAGCACAGTCCCCGCGTCGTTGCGGTGCGCCGTGTATCAAGATTGATCGGGGCCGGGACTGAGCCCCTAAAGCCCCCTCTGGCAAGAAGGGCTTCTCTACGGTAATGTTTCGCAGTCGTCGCTCTTTTTCTGCAGTCGTCTTCTTCTTCTTCTTCTCGATCGTATAGCCGGGGGACCCGACGAATTCTGATTACTTCCAAACCGGGCTCGACCATTTGTGCGAGGCGTGGAGTGATTGGGCTCGGGCCTCGAGCCGCAAGCGCTCGCTCTAACTTTGGTTACCGTGACTGCTGTAAATTTGGGGTCTCGCGGCGTCTGAGTTTGTTGACCGGAACTTGCCGCTGCCACATCATATTGTCACGCCCTTCAAGCACTGGAAAAGCCCAACTCGGCAGCGAACATCCAAATGAAGTCAACAACTGCATGCTATTACGTGTCAATCAATATTTTATATCCTGAAACTCCATTGGTGTTTGAGTTTCTCTTACATGTACATGTATATCGTCGCAATATTGTATGCACATTGCCACGCCTCTACTGAATAATGCATGACAGAGAAAGCAAAGAAGTGCAAAATTTGCCGTGATTGGCCGTGTCAGTAAGAATTAAGAATGAACCTGAGACTGTGTTCTCACAGGGGCAAAACAGCCAAAATGTACAAAAGTTGAAAAAAAAAGAGCGGGTCAAAATTATTCTTAAGTTAAGGTGGTTATCAGATGCTGAGACCAGATTTATTCAAGTTGTTTCATTTTGGTTGGACGTTTGTAAGTTTAAGAGTGGTTATAAGTGTCTGTAGTCCATCATAAAATCAGAACTAAAGCATTCAAAAAGAATGAGATCCAACTTGGACTGATAGTCCTGGTGTTAATCTCCATTCGAACTGTTTTGTGAAGGATATTCAGTCTAACTAAAGATGCAACTTGTATAGAGGTTATTTTCTATTTTCGTTTTATATGAGAGAATTTTTCAAGCCCAAATTTGGGCGATACAGTGTACATAATTTGAAACTTGTACAGAAATGTAATTATGTTTGCCAAAAGAGACGAGCCAGTCTGAATAGGAGTGACGTGATATGCAAAATAGACTACTGGCGTCACCGTCGTCTTGCCGGTCATATTCAGCCGGCGACATCCCGCGACGCCACACTTTGATTGGCGCATGCCGTCGTTTTGTCATTTAAACACCACGGAATGTTCTTGGAGCCTAATCCATCAAAATCTGTCAATACAATTACCTTTTCAAGATGAATTACTTCTCAGGAATATGACCTGTTCTTGGTGTAATAGCACATCATCTGTTGGCAGCAACGGTTCGAAAGGTAGACTACGCCATTGACCGGTATTCGTTTGACAAAAAAAAAACAACAACTTAGTCGAACTTAACATCGATTAATTCTTTCTTGGTTTGAAACGTGTGCTTTCACTACGTTTCTTGATGTCATCTTGACGAGAATATTGTAACTTTATGATCTCCGAGAGGACAAATTTAGATAAACTGAGGCAGTGATCTTTGGGCTAAATTTCGCCTTTGAAATCAGAAACTTTTGATTCTTAATTGGATATTTTTGCACTCAAGGAGCTCGTCTTTTCTTGCACATCAGTTCTGATGTCTGTAAAACGCTGGAAGGAACGCATGACTGACATTTTATATAAAAAGAACCGATGTACCTTTCCTTGTGCACAAATCCATTCCCGAAGAAAGAAAGACAGAAACAAACATACTTTTTCAGAATCGAGATATACCATTCTATTCATCGTTCTACCGAATAATTGTCTTCAAATAAACTTGTTCCCAATTGTATAACATAAAATTCAAAATGTATGTCAAATAACATATCATGAGTCCAGCACAAATGTTTAAGAAGAAAAGATTTGTAATGAAGAAAAAAAAGATTGGATGTCGTATTGCGTAGTTCTGTAACAAATACTTTTATTTATACTTTAGCAGGCTCAGCAGTACTGATTTTGACCGAGCAGTAAACAACTTGATTGATTCCTTTTACAAATTAGTGTACCAATTGCTTTAAACAAAGATAACAGAGAGTCAGCAGTCCTGCCAAACCTGTCACACTGCCCTAAAATGGTATATCCGTGCAATGACCCCCACTGTCTCATTCCCACGCGGCTAAAAAAAGACTTAAATATCTCGTCGGTCTCATTTTTTTTTCGTTGGTTGCCCCAATCGGGCAGATGGTCTGTACTTTGACAGATTCCATCAAGAAGCCCGTTAGATATTCATCATATGAATGATCTGCTCACCGAGGAAAGCATGGACAGAAAAGACAAGATTATAAAGAGACCTTTCACCATTGTATTAACAGTCATGGCAAAGCTGTGTTCAAGCTCTGTGTACACTTTCGGTAATCAAAGGTGTCAAAGAGTTCTCTTTCACTAGATGTATTTTTGTTGAATGAATAAAAACCTTTATAAACGTCAGAACTGCAATTTATTTGTTGAAGTTTCTTTCAGTATAAATTTAGACAAGGACTGAGATTTTTCGTTAGACTCGATGTATATGTCTTTGCGCTGACAATGTAGCACAACAAAGTAGCAACATAACTTTTCTGAATCCGTTTTTGAAATCGATGATTCAACACCATCGATAACGCGTGCTGACAGAGGAGGCACAGTGTGGAATGAAATCTTCGATTTACGAGGGAGGACCTCTCCGTGACTTTTTTCAGGAAAGTTGGAGAGCTCAAGACGCAGATAAAGCAATATCGGCACGATGAGCTGAATATCATTTGACACGTGGTAATGTCGTGTTTGGGGTCCTCAGTCTTTAAAAACTGACTGCATTACGTGGAGGCGTTCATTTTCTTTGGGGGTGTGCGGGGACATGTTCTGGGTGATAAACAGAACTTTCAAGCGTCTGTCAGGTTTCCTCGGGAAGTATTGTAAAGGAAATAAGAGAGAACTGGGCTGTTGGCGAGAAGGGTCCATTTTCCAAGAAAGGTTTGTGTCACGCGGGCGCCATCACGCCTGGAGCGTATTTCTTCTGACGAAGCAGAATTCTGCCCCTCTTACAATAACAAGGTTTGTTGCATTATTGTCTACCTTTAAAGGCGGGAAAAGGAAGTTTTAGAACAGAAGAACTGAACACACACACGTTGCACACGGTCAATAAGCTGGACGTACAAGTATGAGCAAATTATAACGCTAACGTGAGAAAGTTTGTCAACCGGGGCTTTTAATACAAGTCACGGGGTGAAAATGTTGATGTCACGAAAGCATGGATCTAACGCCCTTGGTGTTTGTACATTTCACCCACTTTATCTCCTCAGTCCCTTTGCGTTCCTGTCCCTTAAAGAATTAACACAGAAATCTTGAAATGCGAATTGTTACTTCACTATTCTCTTGATTTTTACCAGTACTATGAGACCAAAATACTGCCTGGAGAATTCCATTCTTTAATCGTGTCTGTCATGACGCTGTCTATGGCAATCGGGAAAAGGATAAGCAAACATAAGGCCAATCGGTGCATAGTTAGGTGTAAATAGTCAACTATTGGATGTAAATAGTCAACTATATGCCACACCTGCTGAGACCGGTTGGCTTCATTCTTGGGTCAGCTATCTTGACTCGAAAGCGGCCCCGGGATGGTCTCTGTGTAAATTCTCTTTAAAAAGTTGTTGTGTTGGAATGAAGACGATTCAATAGGGCAAATTACAGATATTCATACTTGCGAAGGGTAATACCAAATCCTGGATGTAAAAAAAAAACCACCCATATTATCCGAATAAAAAAATTCAAAGTCAGGCCATACCGGTATAAACCGAAGCGATATACACGTTCTCATGTCCCTTCCCATCTTACAGTGTCCAATGAATGAAGTGGAATCGGGGAAGACGATCCCTAAGAGCCATCTTGTCAATCAAGCCCATTTGCTGAAAGTGACGCAGAATGTGTATGGATCCCCACCCACCCCCGTCATCACAACTTGGGACTCGAACCCACGACCCTGCAAGAAATGCAGGCAACCTGTCTGATCAGTCGACAATTTGGATTTCACGAGTTTTTGTGTGATCTGCATAATGCTGATGTTCTTTCTCCGTGTATTGGCATTTCAGTTACGCGTGCACTGGAAGAAAAAACCAAACGAGCTTCTCGAAATGAGGTAAAGGGTCTGCGGTCGGCATCGACTCAGCATCTCTCCGCACAATGGTGTCAAATTAGTGAGGAAAAAAAGCTCCTCCGAGGCACGAAACGGGAAACGACAAATTAGGAAAGAGGGAAACATCCAGGATTTTGAACTCTTTCAAACAAGGGGGGATGGGGGAGAGAGAGAGAGACGAGTTGATGAGAGGGACGTCTGTGACTCTCTGCTTGGTCGTAATCAGTCTTGGTGGGTTATCAACCCACCGAGATGGGCCGGGGGAGAGTGCTGCAATTTACCCGCTAATCCCTCTTCTGTCGTCGCGGCCGGGGCCCCAGTATACCAGCGCGTCTCGGTCATCATCCAGCCTGCACTTGTTTTTTCCTCTTCGCGAAGCTAATAACGATTTCTGCATGCTCTTGTCACCGTAGACGGACAGGGACTCGTTGCTGGGGGGGGTGGGTGAATGATGCTGCTGCCGCTGATGATAGTGATGATCTTTGAGAAGCGTGGCGCAGATCGATGGGTTGACGGTTGCATCTCTCGCTCGGTCAGTGTCCCCTTCCTACACTTGGGCTTCATAAATGTTTCCCGGTGTTGTATTTTTTTTCCATATCCCCGTGGCCTGTTTAGAGGTGCATCACCCCCCAAAAGCTATGTATCGACAAAAGCCAAAACTTCTTATTCTACCAGTTTGTCATTTCATGGCATTCGCGTATTTGTTTTTTTTTTCCTTTGTTCTGTTATCTGGAATTGCTGAAAATCCTTTGAAAAGTCAAAATGAAACAAAAAGAACACAGCAAACGGAAATGCCTTCGTTGTTGTAAGACATGGAACTCAAACCCGTTATCAAATCCTATACACCTTGGTCCTAAGCACCCTTGGAACGAGGTTGAGTGAATATATCAGCTTACCTGGTTAGGTTTCTTTATCTGCTTGTCGCACTGCGTGTCATTACCGCTACCAACTGACAACAAAAACCTACCAGACACCCCACGGACAAGCGCGCAAACGATAAACACAAAACTTGACACGGACTGCGCTTAAGTGCGTTCAGCAATTGGCCGTTCTAGCGTAGCGCCACTTAACGACCACGAGTCCGGTTTAATACGCGAACATTGTGACGTCATTAATTAGGACAGGCCTTTCCCCACTTCCCTTACAACCTCACAGAACAAATTTCTCAAGTTAACATCTACCATAAGTGCCAACTTTAAAGTGACGGAAGCGAAAGTTTCATGGCCATCGAATAAGGCAAGAGAGCGTAAAAATATGCAAACCCGGAAATTGTCTCCGCTTCACTTCCGAAATGCACAGAGCGCAGATGACCACGTCTGACCCGGCCCTCGCCAACTGTGGAAAAAGGCGGGCCTGCCGCGTTTTATGGTGCATGAAATTTTCAAGTTTCCATATCTGTACATTCACATGGCCATGTTGACAAATCCAAACCACGTGGAGAGAGCCACTCTCGGTCGGTAGACTCGTAGAAAAATTCACGTTTGCGGGACGGCGCATTTCTCCTCATTAGAACCAGCACACGCACGCACGCACGCACGCACGCGGCACTATACCGGCGTTCCGCTGGGGGCAATCAGATCAAACGATTTTAAGTGCAAACGCGGTGATTTTGATAGCCGGCGTGAAATGACGACCAGCTTTGATCAGATGCCAAGTGAAAAACGCGCATGAGTACCGAGAGAAAAATCATTAACTCCTGCAGAAGAGAAAAAAAATGCCGCACCGCCAAAGACACGAGGGAGAAAAAACGAGTAAAAAAGAAAGATCGGCACATGTGAGCGATTGATGAACCATGGATTATTGGTAGCAAACCAGCTGGCCATGCGCGGTTCATCGTGGTATGACAGAATAAGATGACAAACACATTCGAAGGGGGCTTCGGCGTGGCAGACGGCCAACTGGAGATGACAAGAAGATGCGCGCGGCAGAGCGAAGAGCCGCTGCACGGTTTCATGCCGCGACCAAGGTTCTCCGCGTGTGGTCCGCGGCGCGCACCCTGAGCGCTGCCCGTAAAGCCTCGCCCGAGAAGGGGCGATTCCAGAGGGGAAGGGGAATGCAATACCACGGCTGGGAATGAAGGGGTGCATGATGAGAAGGTGTGAACTATGGTCCACACTGCCGCCTCACAGCTGGTTTATTTTGTACGCGTGTACTTGCGCAGTATGTATGTAATTACAGACTATTTGGTGAAAACTGCCGAAAATTTGAAAAAGAGCAATTAGAATTCCACACCACTGTAAGTCAAAGGTTTAGTGTTATCACTTCTCAAAGGTTTCTATAGCAGTTAGCGGCGAAGACTTGAGGAACCTAATGCAGGAAAGTGATTTGCGATCAAAACTCCGGCTGTGTACTTGTAAGTTGCAGACATATTGGCATCAAGCCATGCCACCACTTACCTTTCGACAAATGAAGTGCATTCTCTCCGAGTGAAAATAAATTCGTAAGACCTTTTTTTAAAACAAAAAAAGTTTAGTGCTCCTAAGGAGTCCATTTTACACCTTCTCACATTTCTGACTCAGATAATGATAGGGGTGAACATACAAACCATATCTTTTCGTCGTGATTCAAATACAGAAACCTTTACGTGGCATTGATGACAATCGCTTTTGGAATGTAAGGGGTTTATTATAAAAGAATTCTTTAACCTATCCTTCCTCTATGTAATAATAATGTTCTAGATCCAGATTTGTTGGAGAGTTTGTATAAAGCCTTGCAACCGCGCTCGTCTGGTCTGTACCCTCTATTGCTCGGTTTGTTTTGCATACGTGGACCTAACAAGGAGGTCCGCGTATAATGTGTGAAGATGTGTGGACTTTCACAGGTCCGCACAACGCTTCTCCCTCTCTTGGAAGCAGTTCCACTTTCATTTGGGGGTCATGGGTTATCTGTGTCAAAATGAAGAGGAAGAGACGAGGAATTCATCATCAACAGTCCTCCTCGAATGTGAGTTCATAAAAGTTGGGGGAAAAATTAAATACTTTCTTGACGTTATAACATCGGGGGAAAACAAAACGTCTACATGTACACAATAATCATAACAGGTCCGGTCAAGGGTCAAATGTTTGCCACCCATAGGCCTATGTTCATATCTCAGCACATTGTGTCCGGAAGTAGGTCAGTGCAGGACATCTTGCCTAACCTAAAACCTTTTGAATGTGAATAAAACTGCAAATTGAAAAGGAAAAACCCAGTCTGGCCTTTTTTCAGTTATTGTTGTGTTGTGTTCGTTTTAATCGTGCACTATATCGCTAAATTTGGATTTGGTAACTTTATTACTGTACTGTGCTAACGTGCATGGGTGGGCACAATTCTTTGCTCTCAGGCAGACTATACTGGGAAAATAATTTGGCCAAGAATCGGTAAACTTAATAACTTCCGTGGTTTCTGCGCCGCATAGGATATGCGCTAGACTGACTCTATTACAATGTTTTACTCTGTTCCCAGGAAAGCTAGCATTAGCCTGATTTCAAATATGATTTTTCCGGCGATGAACCCCAAATCCCTCTATCCCAACCACTAACTCCAGGAACCGCGAGCTGGGGTTACAAATCCCCTCCGGGTGATGTCTCCAATCCCGGGGCTTGGAGTCCGGGGTCGATTCCCACCGGCTCCCACTCGACGGATTACTTGCAAAGCTGCCGGACTTTCAGAGCGCAAAAGAAAAAAGTGAGTAAAAAGAGACAGGACTCGAGGAAGGAAAAGAGAGAGAGGCCCCTGTGTGATTGTTGTGGGTCGATTTTCCTGTGATATCACGGAACACTTGGCGACTGTTGACAGCTGCCGGTGATGTTCCTCCGAGAGCGGGATTAGGGACTCAGTCGACGGGTCGTGGTGTGAAAAACCCCGGCCAAGGAGGGAGCGGGGATCCCGGTCACGGGATGGCTGGTTCATGAACCAATTACAGGTTCTCTACGATCTGGTAATAACTTAAAGGTGGTAGCCACACTGGTAAAGAGCGATTGGTCACGCTGTACATGGAAGTTGCTAATGACTTTAAAACGAAAGTCAAAGAAATGTGCCATTCACTTATACACACATAGAACAGTACGAGAATTTTTTTTCAACGAAACAGAAGTTTCCCTGATTTTTGTTTTCAGTTTCAAAATTGAAAAAGGACTTGCGAATGTCTAAAAACAGGGATTAAAATCGGTTCTGCGGTAAAGCCTATGTCGTCTTAACAACCACTTTCGCTGCCTCTCACATACACCCAAATTTAGAGAAACAAGAAAAATTAAACATTTCAAAATTATACAAAATAAACACATGTATGTACTATGGAGCTCTGGAAGTGCCATCCAACTTGTTGAGATCCTGCAATATTATTTCTTGGGACGACGACATCATAGATGTAAGATGTCGACATCCTGAGATAATTTGTCATGGATGACGACATCATAAAAGTAAGAATAATTACCTTATTTGTCAATGGGTGCTTTGACAAACCACCTTGAAAACGCACAGGTGTCTTGAAGTGCTTTTGTCTTTTTAAAGCCTTGTCTTTTACCATACATGATATTAATTGGATTATTAAAACGCCATGATGTCTTGCCTCTTGTTACAAGTAGTGAAGTAGACACCACATTTTCTGGATTTCTCTGGATGACGACATCCTGTGGAAATGATTATCTCAGGATGTCGTCATCCAACTTTTACGATGTCGTCATCCCGTGATAAATTATCTCGGGATGTCGACATCTTGCGTTTACTATGTCGTCATCCCGAGAAAAACATGCCAGGATCTCAACAAGTTGGATGGCACTTCCAGAGCTCCGTAATATACAAATTAAAAGAGGAAAACAATAGTTAGAGTAATGCAATTCAAAGGGTGGCGCTGTTCTCATCTGATTCTGACAAACTGATGCATGACAGAACGGCTGGAGAAAAAGACCAAGCGTTGGGAAGTGCTGTAGTGGCCTACATCGTACATGGAGGCCTACATCGTCAATTCCAAGAATATGCCGAGGATCGCACCAGGCATGCACGGGTCAAACGATAGCCGTTATCACACGTCAAATACAAGAGTCATTGTCGCCTTACATTGCCCACTATATATCGCAGATCGGGGGGGGGTGTAACAAAAGCTGCCCTCCCCCACATGGGGAAAGCCCACAGAGATTAACCCTCCAAGTTTTGCTCCCACCATGAAAATTTGCTTCTGGATCGTCCCTCGTAGAAGAAAAAAACGTAAATAAATATTAGATTTTCTTATCAGCCATCCAGGCAACACTAGAGGCGGATTTTTGCAATTTGCAAAAACGAAACCAAAGAAGAAAAGGCAGGATTGATTTCGTCCTTGTCACCATCAGCTGCTATTTTCAAAAAAAAAGAAAAGGAGATGTCCTGTCTAGCGCGACCCGAAATTCGTGGATGACAGGCTTCGTGGTTTACCCGACACTTAAACCAGTAGCCCGTGTTGTTATCACGGCCACACAGGTGCGGAGATGTCTTTCCCTGATGTGGTTCAAGGAGAGACGCGCGGCAGTCACCAGTCCCACCTTTGCTGTGGGTTCACTGCACTGATTTCTTTTAATGACAAGGATATAACTGGTGCACATCATCAATCCCGTGAACTTGAAGGACGACTAAAAGTAGGCCTACACGTACAACGAAGGTTGTTTCAAGTGAGTGATAGACAGTCTTGATATGAAAACCAGATTACCACAGTCTGCAACCAATCGACCAAGTTGTCCAAGTACAATTAGTCGTGTGCCAACCCCCCCTGACCATTTTTTCCCCAAAATACTTTTTAAATTTTACAGTTCAATGTGCAGTAAGCTGTCTCAGCATTCCTAGATTTTTTTACCCGATAATAACCACCAATGTTAGTTTCATAAACACACTTCTACTTCACCCCCGACTGTCGTCTGTTTTCAGCAGGCGTCGTTCTTACATAGTGTGCATGTTCCGTTGCAGAAGGTCTCCCCAGTTTGTCAGAGTTCGTTATTACGCAAATGCCCAAATTATGTCCCGGAAACGCGGTGCTTGCATCTGGATGGCGCATCGCCACGCTCGCGGACACATACGCCCTTTCCAGGATATTGGTTTCGTTTTTTCCCAAGTTAAACCTGATGTTTACAGTCCTGACTGGACGTTTTGCTCCAGGAAGATTACCTTGTATGATTTGAAGTTAATGATGGTTACTCTTTTCATTTGGACAGAGCCTTTAACAACCTACAAAATGGTTCAGAGACAGAGAGAAGACAGATCCAAAGCCAAGCTTTGAAAATGACCACGCCAAACAAGTGTAAACGAAGAAAGCCCTCTTTTCAAGATTTTTACAATTTATTCTACTGTACAAAATAAATTCTTTACATTATCTTTAAATGACTTTATCAAGTCACATAAATGATTTCAAATACCAAAAGCAAAAAATCAAGAAATGCAACGAGAACTTTTGTACCCACTCAAGACGTGCATCTATTTTTATTGTTGGTACATGTGTTACATAAGTTAATTTCTCTGCGTCCAAAAAGTTCTTCTCCCTGTTATGAGGATAGCAGATGACCAGCTCTACCACCACCTGCACGAAGAGCTGAAAATTACAGTCAAGTATTAATTTGCCCAGACAAAGGAGGGTGTGCTTAGTCAAACTGTTTCAAGAAATGCGATGCCCAGCTGAGAATCTTGAAAAAATACAATTTCTCCTAATAGTGTAGTAGTATTCGTGTATGTGCACACTCTTTTTGGAATTTGACAAATGAAAAGCTCATGTGACCTCGATGTCGGCCTGTGGCATATTAAAAGATGATCGAATGCTTGTGCTCTCACTTCATCCTCTGTGATATTCGGATGGTTATTTCTCAATAACCTTCAGTTTCGGTCGGGCCTGGCAGATTGTGACCAACTTGGTGCAGAAATCGTCCGTGAAGGGCAAGTTGCACTGGTAGATGTCCAAGTGCCTCAGCTCCTTGCAGCTCTCCAGGCACTTGAGGATGTCAGCCTCCTTGAAGTTCTCAATGCGGGCCACATTCAGGGCCTGGATGGCAGGCAGGAGTTTGGCCACGTTGCGCAGGGACAGGCCGGTCAGGTGGGTGCACTGGCAGACATTCAGGTTGATCAAGTGGGGAAGATTCTAGGCAACAGAACAAGGTGGAGAATGGCTGTACTGTAGTTAAGTCCCCATAAGCTTATTACAGGTTACTCACAAGTCATCTAGTCTCCAGTCCAGCCACGAACTACTCTGACCTAAATAAATTGGGACAAAGGCATCCTGTTTTTGCAGCAGCTATCCATGTTAATGGCGTCTGGACTTGCACTTTTGACTAGTGAGTGACTTGTGATTTGACTCGGGATAGACTTTGATTAGACAGAAGATTTGACTTGTGACATACTTTGATTTGATACATGATTTGACCTTGGGTTAGACTTTGATTTTGATTTGACATGAGATTATTTTGTGTAATTGTTTGACTGGTGACAGACTTTGATTTGATATGACATTTGACTTGTCATTTGACTTATGCTAGACTTGTCATTCGACATGCTTGACATGTGAGTTGACTTTGGATTGGTGGTGGACTTGTCACTTCTGGACAAAAGGTGTTTTACAAGAGAACAGGGAAACCTTGTCTCACATGGGCTTTCAGAGCCATGGTAACATATATGGCCGTGTCCAAATCACTAGCTTTAGCTTGAAATTACACGATTCCATGCCACTACTACAGACAAGCATGTAATTTCAAGCAACAACCAAGTTATTTGGACAGGGCCTATATCTACTGTCGACATGTGGCCACATGTGTCGCCCAACAAAGACTCTGACCTAGCTCTGTGGACAAGACACAAAGCCAGCCTACAGAACCATCTCTGACACGATACCTTCATCAATCTCTTCAGCAATTCGTCATTGATCAGGTAGCCGCAGAATTTCAGGTTCAGGATCTTGAGGTTGGGTGAGTGGGTCATGATCATCTTGAGGGAGCCCATGGTAAGGTAGGCATCGCTCAGGTCCAGCTGCTCCAGGTCGGGGCTGAGGACACTGGCCAGGGAGGTGTTGTTGAGCCTCTTGGAGCGCTTTAGGCGTCGAACGATGTCACTAGAGTGCCCCCCAAAATGACAAGATTATGGAGAAGGGGGGGTCCAAATAAAGTACATGTCCTGTGATTTTGTGGTCAGGGTTGGATGCCTGTGGATCTTAAGGAGGCGGCACCTGCCTTTGATGAAAGGGGGTTCCCCAAATGGAGGGGAACTTTTAATACTCAAGGACCAGTTGAGGATGACAGAAAAAGTAACTCCTGAAATGTAACGTGAAAGGGGGAGGATGAAGTGCACCCCTTCTGGATGTGCTACTGGTGCATAAGACCCAGAATCGATTGGCTAAAGTCTGATATGTCTGAATGAAGTGAAAGAAAGCTGCCCTGGAAAAAAATGCGCGTGGTAAAAACTGAAATCAAATACAACATCAATGAAAAGCTTGTACAAATCGGCAACCCTGTCTTTTCAAAAAGGTACATGACCACAACTGATATCCAAAGGGAAATGCAGAAATAGTTCTCTACTCATTTTTGAATTTATCAAATGATAAATTCCCTCCAGTCAGTAAATCTGCCCATTAAAAAAAACAAACATTGGGTCCTCTTGGCATGTGGACAACAGCACCAGTGGGGGGGCCAGGGTCAGGGAAGCTCAGATATTTGCCTTACCTGATGATGTATTCATCCATGATACCTTCCAAGCTGTAGTCGGCTATGTTGATGGTTACATATTGCAGGCACATCTCCAGTAGTCTGACCACCTTGGTGCCTTCATGGTAAGGATACTACAAGACAATAATAACAATACTAATACTACTAATACTGTAGACAATGAAGATTATGTCAAGTATAGTAAGATATACATGCACAAAATATTTCACTGATTGTTGTATTAATGAGGCGGGTTGTGGATCTTTCATTTGAAGTTTATCTTCACGGTTCAAATACATACAGATAGTGAATGCCTTCATCACTGGATGAATATTTCTGCCAAACAAGTTGTGAAAATGTACACCACTTTCCACATGACAGGAATAAATATGTCTTTACACGTATATTGGAAAACTGAAAACTCTCCAGTGGAGTTTGAAAATAGACAGACAGTGTTATTTCTAAAAAAAAAAAAAGCACTGAAAACAAGGCAACAAATAAAAATCTAACTGCATACTAACAGTATCCCAGGTAAAATGTTCGAAGCAAACACACTTATAATGCATTTAACTGCAATCTTAGCAGATATATAGAGTCTGAAGCTGATAGAAGTCACTCGTAGTTTCGGGAATTCCGGGGGGGGGACATAAAACCCCCAATGAGAACTGTTTCATATCATAAATATAGATTTTCCTACATCATCGGTCTGGGATGCCAAGCTTTTTAAAGGAGGCACCTGCATAAACATTCTGTAGGAATCAAGCACAAAATGTCCTGCCAAAAAATCAAAGGTAAAAATGAGCCTTTTGGCAGACATTTTGGTGGACAATATTAACTTTCTTAGTTAACCATGAAGCTAATTTTCAGGAATTTTCTTCCACGTTGTCCATTTTACAGGTAATCAGTGGCACGATCTTTGAACGTTATCTTTCAAGGGGAGAGGGGGATAAGCCCTGTTTGGTGGAATTGTGGCTGAACTCTGCCTTCCTGAACCCTGCCAAATCTGCCCGAACTTCCTTGCGGATCTGGAAGGATTTGAGAGGACTTGGGTGAATAAAGAAGGTGGAAAGTTTCCGCCAAAATTTAAAGTACCAAACAAAATGATTGTAAAAAACCCATACCAAACACTGAATGTAAAAATATTACATACCAGCAGAACTCTCCCTTGGGGAAAAAAAATTGAATAATTGAGTGCCAAGACACATCACTCCTTCACTTCATCTGTAACTTGTCTATCAGCCATTACAATGAATAGTAGGTCACCCCTGGTAAGTTAGACCCCGGTGCCGGTCACACGAGGGAGCAAAAACCCAATTGTCAAGGTGCCTTCCTAATGAGGCCGGCCCCTCCTTTGATCCAGAGGGGGCAGGAGAAATTGATGGAGTGTCGCTGTAATGAGCCCCTGCCTGTCTCAGATACCATCGGTGTTGTGACATGGTATGTTTCATTTGTCATTGTCAAAGTTGTATGGGCCTGAGATTTTTTATATACGGTATTTTATCTCTCCGCCTTCTTTTTTTCGGAGCCATTCTGTTAGTTGGTAGTGGTGGTGTACGTAAATAAACAAATTTGGGAAAACTGGCACTGAAAGGTCAGCCATTTGGGGGACCAGTAGACAGGATTTGATGAAGTGTAGTTTTAATAGCAACAATTCTAATGTAACAACAGATTCATTCTGAATATATCGTTACGAGAAAACAAATACAGGCTTAAAAAGAGAGAAAAAAATTCAGAAGCAGAGAAAATGGCATTGCAACATTGCTGTCACAAATGTCACAGAAATTCTGAAACAAATGTTAAACGGATGGTGTCACAAGTTACAGAAAAGTACCCCGCACGCGACAATACAGGGAGCCAAGGGTACATGTGATTTCTGTAAACCCTGATTTTCAATCCAGCAGAGGACTGCATTGTGGGGCAGGGTTTAACAGAAGTTATAATGAAAGCATTTTACTATATGAGACTTGCAAGAAAGTAGAAATGCATCCTATATTCGGACATTCAAAATGTTGATGTGGGTGTGCCTCGGCTGAAAAATACTCAAATCTCCACACCTTAGTGAAACAAATCCTGGCAAGTTATTTAAGTTGCCTGTCAAGCTTCATCTCTGGAGAATGTTCCATTTTTTTTCTTGTTTGGGAGTTACTGGAAGATCTCATGTCGGAATGGGTTATCAGATGGTGACATTGCGGGGAGATTCCTTAGTAATGGGAAGCTATGTTAACCATTAGATCCCAATTAGGGTCGCAACTCCCGATATGCTTGTTAACAACTAGGGCATGACCCCATGGAGGGGGGGGGAAGTACTAGTGGAAAGACTGCGAATCAGAAAAGAGAGAAAGCCAGAGACAGACCGAGATCTAGATTAGGGAGACCCAGCCAAATCTGTGAGGAATTAGCTACGAGTGACCCATGAATGGTTGGGAAATTATATCAAACTAACTAGTGACGGGGGACCAATAGTCAAAAGGGACCAGGAGCCTACGGGTACGATCCTAATCATTGCCTGACCTAGTTTTTTTCAAACCGCTGGTGCCAAGGACGACCGTTTGGACATGCCTGAACTTGGGGGTGAATTTTTTTCCTCCCTGGCTGCCAACCGGAGTTTGGAAGTTGCAGTGCTGGATACGTGGTGGAGCTCTGCACTTGGGAGACGGGAGGGCTGATGGATTTCATTCCAGGTGATTAATAATGGTTAAGCATGGAGGTTGGGTTCTACGGCCATCTATCTCTGTCACCGGAGATTAGTGAAGTAGGCCATGCATGGTATACTGCCAGATGGGGGGGGGGGGTTGAGAAGCTGTGCAACACAAGCCCACCCCCTCCCTTCCTAGTTCCATCACTCACATACCTGTGTGGTGCACGGTGTGTGGGGCAGGAGTTGCAAGGGGCTCACCGCTGCATTCAGACACTTCTACCCCAGGGGGGGGTCACGGCCGCAGATGTGTCTGAATCTGGATCAGGTCATGGGGAATAGGGCTGGCGATCATTTGTCTCTGATGTCAGGGTAACCTAAACACAGTCTGGCACTTAAAGGCAATTGCTACAATCATGTTTATATACTTTTTCACACCAGCACAATTGCCATTATCCATTCATGAATTTTAAGTGACAAGAATTCTGATGGAAAGACGCGGCCTTCGTTCGCACCGTTTACTCATAGCGTAGAGCATTTTTGATCTCGTATTAAACCCGACATTTTCATTGCACTCTTCCTGCCGCGATTTGTTTTTGGTCCTAAGCAAAGTGAACCATGGCATTAAAAGCCGTTGCCCCTTTGTTGCTCCTGCATTCTTGAGCCGGCTCTGTTTGGAGTTACGCACGTGTGTCATCGATGCAACAGTCATTCAAGTCTTTCTTGTCCGAGAAGTTTACAAGCTGTGTACAACTTTTTTTTTTTAACAAATGATTTCTACGACATGCACATCTGGGAGGTGGAACACTGCATGCTGTCTGTGCTAGCCGTGAACCCAGGTTGCAAGGACCAATGACCAGATTTTGTGACTGCAGCTGAAGGAAAAAAAAACAACATCTGGGGAAAAACTTGGGCATCAGCAATTTCAATAACAATTTGCAAATTTGTTATCGGTGTGCGTAGGCTCTTGGTGGTCCATTCCTGTCTAACCACATGGCCTCTTAGGACCAGAATCTTGACATCAGCAGCAAAATGGAAACACCGCTCACCATTCATAACAAGGCCAGAATACAGAGTAAGGGACCAGGAACCTCCGTTCATTACGAGGCTAGACTAAGGAGAAAGGGACCAGGCACCATTGAATCCTATTTTTATGCCACACCGTACTCTGAGTGTGTTGTAACTCTCCCATCCCCCCCAAAAAAGAAACAAAAACGTGAAAACAGGACAATTAAGGCAATGATGACCTTTTTAAGATTTCCAATGATAATGGAAATACATGTAGGGTAATTTTAAATGTAGAATATTGCTCTTTTCTAGGGACAAATTTTGGATTTTTCAGAAAGGCAGTGCAACATTTTGAGGGCAAAGTCTCAATGAATGGTGAGTGAGAACTGAGCTGTGAAGATTTCAAAGCCCACTTTGAACATTTTAGCCAGAGGTGATACAGGTTTAGATGTAAATTCCTGTTTGCTAAAAGCAGGGGATGCACTTATATTCCAACAAATTCATCTAAACGTTTCATTTCAGCTTGCCTAAAGGGTTTCACAGAGTAAGACTTTGGGTCTTCTGGAAGGCCGTTTCAAATTGCAAATACCAGATGATCTGCAATTGAATAAGGCTTCACAGAGTTCACTTTTGAGGAAAATGCAAAACATGAGGAAAAAAATCAAGCAATGAATGATGATGAAGTTATGATACATTCTAGAGTCTATCTTACAAGCTCTGGTAATGGTGTTTGCAAAGGATACTTTCTCCTTCCGAATGGCGATCATTAAAGTAAATTTAGTTCTGTTTGATAGTTATTTGACTGACACGTACCCGCTCAAATCGCTGACTGAAGATGGACCTGACGTACACCACTCCGTTTTCCGTCTTCATCTCGTACCGCTTGTGGCCTCGTTCCGAGACGGCTTTGTCAAACTCCTCAACCAGGGTCTCTTCAGAGTACGTGGACAACAGGGGTACGGTCATGATGTCAGTCACCTTCACGTAGCCTGGGTGGGAGGTTGAAAAAAAAGGCACCGATTCACGTGGTGTAGTTAGATTGGTTGTTTCCAATGAGCCAGTTCAGTATTTCAAAAACGCAAGGTCATTTGAGTCAGAATTTGACTGCGCTGATAGGACAGATCTCATGCATGTGTATACATATTGCTGTTCCGAAATGGCCTCATATGCGCAAGCGTTTGGGGCATGTGCTGCTGGAAAACCAGCCTTGCTCAATAATAAAACATGCATAACAGGTAGGCCAATAGACAGAAATACAGGCAATGGAATATTCTGGGTTTGATGGGAGCCGAGCAGAGTTGCAATGGAGTCCATCACAAGTCACGCCACAAGTCTAGTCTCAAAACCAGTCACAAGTAACAGTGTGACCAACAACAAAGAATACCTTTCATTGAGCATGCATCATTTGAATAACTTGTGGCTTGACTGCGGGACTTGTGATGGACTGGCTCAATTACAAACTGGAGCAAAGAGCAAAGTAACGGTGATGAAAGTTTTATCACAAAGACCTCTTGTAGCTGATATATAAGCTTATTCTACAAGTCCAATGCAAATCTGGTCATAGACAAGTGAACCCTGACAAAGAAAAACCTCTGTCGCAGTTCATTTGAACAGTTTATGGACTTGATTCTAGATGGAGTGACTTGTTTGTGAGTGACTTGTCACACACTTCTGGGGACTTTTGGCTTGACTACAACCTTGACAATCACTACAACACCGAGGACCTGGTCTCTAATTACTCAAACAGGCATGATTTGCATAGCAGAGCACACGACACTTGCAAGACACTTTTCAAATTCACAATTGACGTCTGCCATGCATGTTCTTGCAATCAACTGGTACACTCTTAATTTTCATGTGAGGTCATGACAGGTGGTAAAAATTACCCATGTAACAAGGACACTGTCACAAATTGTGCCCCAACCTCACGGAATGACCGAATTAATCCAGTCAACAAAATTTCTAAGTAGTGCTTTTAACTATCAAAGGGTTACTTGCCAAAGGTGCTACAGAAAAAAATCCTTTGGGGAATGGATGAGAAACAATATAAAATCTAGCTACTGATCTGTGTTCCAACTTACGTACAGTATAAGGCTGACATTTCACCATGTGCCTTGTTCACGAACATAATTGCTTTTCCACATCTGGAAAATACTTATCCAAAAATACAGAAAGAAATATCTCCAAGGCTGAGAAATGAGAAAATGTATTGTACATATCAAATCCCCTTCTATTCTGGAATGCTGAATCAAACCAAGCAGAAGTTTAGCAATCGGAGTAAAAAAAACAGGGAGGGGCAGGAAAATTTGCATGGCAGCAAACCCGTCATTCATCTAGCCCTCCCCGAAATGACATTGACACCGGGCTGGAAATGAGACATTTGCAATCGACACGGCCACTGTTTTGATGTGAGATGTGAATCACGCCAACGGTGAAACCCTTGGCATATAGCGTCATTTATCAGCGCCGGGATTGCCTGGATTGCCGAGGCGAATCTCACGCTGTCGGTTTCAATGTAAACACGGGTGACAGGGCTTAAAGGAACAATATATAGTCTTGATTTTTTTTTATATTTTATGAGGTCAGGCAATTAGATCGGGTGGCCTGTTTTTATTATCCGACAAAGAAGTGAAATGTTACAGTTATCAAGTTCAAATTTGTCAATGTTCTCCAAGGCTCACATTTGGCAAAATTGAATTTCAAGCGCTCTCAGCCTTTGGTTCTGAGGATTAAAAATCTTTAGAAAATTGGCCCGGGTAACATTTCAATGCAACCCCTGTAAAATTTGTATGAGATTTAATCCAATTATCAATCTACATGTAGATATAAACAGAAAAAATCTGGTCGGCACTGTGGCATTCACTGTAGCTTCCACTTTCAGTTCAAGTCCCCCCAGGATCTTGTGGATTAGTTCTTCCTAGAATTATCTCTGAGGGTTCCCCCCCCCATATATCTTTGAGGCAACCAGGCTGTACTGTATAGTGCACCTGCTACAAATCCTGGACAACATTATCAAACAAGACAACAGTGATAACCTCAACTCCCTTATGATCCTATAAAAATTCTCCTAAGTACAGGAAACCACATCCTCTGTACTTTAAATTTCAAAGACATCAAAGGCCACATACATGTAAAGTAATGGTGCCAGGAAGCTCTCCTCAAACCCACAAAATCCTTAAAACCTCCCAGAGGATTTTGAAAGATCTGGGATTGTTACCTTGTACTAACATGCACAATTTATTTTTTTTGGGGGGGGGAATATTTTCAAAGTGATTGTGAGGAAAGCTTTCAGAAAAATTCCAACCACTGACCTTTCTACCTACAGTAAGTAGTTTAAAATGTTAAAGTGATGACCAAGCAAGCAAAATGAGTCACAAGTCACAAGAATCACTTTTGAGTAAGCAGGTCTTTAAATTTAAGTTCACTATTTCCACCCTCAAGACTTACACTGCTAGAGCTGGTCACACATTCTTTCTCCCTCAGACAGAGTTCAGATATATCAACTGTATATGTCCAGTCTGAGCCTCTCAGGACACTGATGGTCCTCAGTGGCAGTCCCAATGTTTATTTGGCTTTTTCACTCTCGGTCCATTTCACACTTTGCAACAGAGGCAAGCAGTGACTGATGACATGTGGATGCCCGTGCAGGCTGGCTTGTACACAGCTTCACTTGATAGGCCGGGGAATTGGTTTACTATAAATAGCCTTATCCCAAGAGTTTCTGGGGAGTAAAAAGGACGGTGGGTTCCGTGACAAGAGGGAGGTGTTATGTGGGGCTGTGCAAAACTAGGCTGATTAGTTGGAAACTGGGTCAAAGTTGGAACTGGATTGGATGAGGTCGGGTGGGGGTTTGACTAGGTTAACATGGATTTACACGAGGGTTGGATTGGGATGGTTGGAAATTGGACATGGGTGGCGTTGTGTTGCCTTGGTTAGTTTGAGGTTGGACTGCGTTAGATTTGATGAACAACAGAAATGGTTCACAAGGGTGGTTGTATTGCTAGTTGCTTGGATTGGGTTAAGTTGAGTTACGTAAGATTTGGTAGGGGTTGGCCTGGGTTGGGTTGGGTTTGGTTTGGCTGGGCTTGGTTGGGTGGGGTTGGGTAGGGTTGGGTAGAACACGTAAGTAACCTTTTGGGGGATAACTGCAAGTGAAAACACTACTGTATTGCCTCTGGAAAAGTATAGATGTATGAGCTTGAATCCTGAAGTCTGTCATGTGTCATGTTGATTACATAATTTATGACCCATTCATGAATTTAGGCGTGTCATTTAGGCATGTTAGGGCCAACTGACAACAACCCCCCTAAAAATGCCAGAGCCTGGCAAAACACAAAGGGCCGTGTACACAGCATAAACAGTTTGCACCACACAAATCAAACTAATATTATCAGAGCCTAAAAGGTTTTTTAAAAAGTGGCGAAATACGTCGGATTGTCCATCCAGAGCGAGAAAAGTGCAGTTTATTTTCCCCTGGGGAACCCTTGTCAGAGGACAGGGCTCTTATGGGGCCGTAGTCCCCAGAGTCTGGTGGTAATGGATGAGTCGTGAGCTGTGTATACGCTGGCCTACATTAAGATGGGAAACAATATCCTGGATGTAATCTTGCATTGTGTAAATGTTTGGATTTTCCAGGGTCCAGGAGGGCCAAACAAGGGATGCTAGACCCCAGATCTACTTTGAGGGGTGATGAGATGTCTTTAGACGGCGTTGATAGGAAGGGGGGGGGAGGTTTAGTTGGACGTTAAGGTTGATGGCCATCTTGACCACAGGTCTTTGTCTGAACCAGTGTTGTGGTTGAGCATCAGAAGACCAGACACAAGAGGTAAGTCACAGGGTGAGTAATGACAAAGGTATAATTTTGTTGCAGTGCATTTGAGTAGCTTGTGCTCGTGACATGAATTCACACTGGAGGCCCTGTGTTGGCCAAGGGATGGTCATATGGGAGCTTGCGTTGGTCTTATGGGGTCTTGACTCTTTGAGCCTCGACTATAACATGGTGCGACTTTTCCAATGAATTTCAGCTTAGCTTTGCGCATGGACTTAACGCACGGTCGCCCTGAAAACACTGTTGGCAGGCAACAAAGCCCCCTCTTTAGATCAAAACAGTGTAATAATGCGCTATAGAGAGGTTTCACAACGTGGTTGGCATGTCAGAATGGAACATGGAATACATGTAAGTCATGTAACATATGCATACGACTACCCATTACACATGCAGAAAATGTACCTGCATACGTTAACTATTCAAATACATAACTTTCTACCAGTAACTACACTAACAAAGAGCAAAGAGCTGGTAGGGGCCTCCGAGGAGGGAAGGTGGAGGTAGGGGTGAGAGGGGAAGGACTAATATGTATGTTTCCTCCCTCCACTTAGTTTTGCTTATTGTTCTGGGCCGAACATTGAAGGCCAGCACAGCTTTTGTGATGGAAACGAGCCGTCTGATGTAATTTTTTTGTTACTCAGTCATCTAATGCAGCAGTAGTTTTTTTTGAGTGAAATTTATTGATTTCCTCTGTTCCTGGAAAAAAAAAATGATATTCTTGCATCCGGAGTTTTCCCAAGAATTTGAAACCCATAAAGGTGAAGCCAGCGCTGACCTACTCACTCGTTGACTACTTTTTTAAAACCAGATTCAGAAACTTAAAATTGGTTCACGTTGTGATTTTATTCTGTTGCAGCAAGTCATTACATAACCGAAAGTCGAGTCGATATTTGAACAGTATAGAATTCAATAGGGTTAAATGCTATCAATTCAAGTTGTTTTATGATACATAAAGAGGGTTGGTACTGCCTGCTATGGAGTATGGACATTAAATGACGATGTTGCATAAAATGACTTAATATCACTTTTTGAAAAAATAAAGCACTTTTCGCTTTATCGTGTACGTCATTACTATTCCTTCGCAAATATATATGTGGGGCATATCTCCAGAAAAACTCCTGTGAGAAATATTTTCAACGGTTTATGTTGCACGCTATGCATGCTATGTTGGCAACATGCCGTACGGCGTCTCCATGTGAGACTACAACATCCACTAGTATCCAACACTGGCTACGGCTCTTTACCCTTTGATAAAAATTTGACGCCATAGTCATAGGAGACCCGACCAGAATGCAGCTCGCCGTTCATGCACGACCCCATACAAACCTGTGTATTAACGCAGTGGTGCACCGGCTGTGGTGGGTGAACATACATGCTAAGGGCTAGGAGTCCCACCCAAACAGTTCAGCGGGATGCAATGTGTCATAGTATTTTTCTAGTAATTAAAAGTCCCATGAAAGCCCCGGGTGAGAGATTGAGCACAGAGGTCAGCTTGAGTGGCTCAAAAAATCCACACTTTGCTCAAAACAGCTGACTGGAGCTGTGTTCCCATGCGAAATGACTCTGCGGAATGTGACGTTGTTACCTCGTGAGCTGACGGTCAGTCCCTCCTTAACTGCTCCATATCTCAGGAGGTAAGCAAGCCTTTTGCCCAGCTTGCTGTTCTTGGGATCTGCATATGGATCCTTCCTTTCTTCCCTGTTCTTGGCAGACTGGGAATCCTGCAAGAGAGATACAAAAAAAGATGATTACAAGGTGATTCCAGAATTGTAGAGTTTGCATAAACCTTTCATGCTTTTGGGTCCGGAAGTTGTAACGAAGATGGAGGAATAAAACTTACTGTGCATGGTATCAAACATGTTTTTATCACTTCCCTAAGTATTGGAGTTCCAAATTTTTGGACGTATGTCAGACAAATTTTACGTGTAGCCAATGCACTCTTGGTACTGTCAGGCCGAGATGTTGCATGGAGTCAGCATAGGCCTCATTTACGGAGGTGAACAGTGCAACATCACACAACATTAATCATACTAGTTAGGAAACCCAGCTCTATGGAAGACTCTTTATTAGAATTTCCCAAATGAGCTGAAGCTGGGTTGTCCAAGCAGTCATGACCATAGCCTCACTAGTGTGGCACGGACTCTCATTCCCGATGGATCGGAAGTGAGAGTCCGTGCCACACTTGTGGGGCTATCAATCATGACCATGACGTTTATTCCCACTAAAAACGTGGAAGAATAAAACCTCATCTGCTTAAAATTCCTTACTTACATTACGTTCTTTACCATTGGCGTTAGAAGTGCTCTTTGCACTTGGCATTGTGAAGAAGGCCCCGGCCCAGGCCTAACTGTTATGTTAGTATGAGAACGTTAAGGTTTTCGAGACACGTGCAAAAATTCCAATTTCAGACTTCTTCCGTTTTCGAGCCTTCGGGTGATTTCTTCGAATTTAAACGCAGGAAAATTGCTTGAAATGTCTTTACTAACAGAGTAAATTACGATTAAGAGTGTGGAAAATGGCAATGAAAATGAAACACTGACCATGCAAATTTACGTATGTCACAAACACTGTTACGGGTGAATATCAAGAAAGAAAAATTGCACAACCACTCATCATCATTTCACGCCATTTCACCAGCCAGTGTTTACAATCGAGCGCCCTCTTTTGACAAAGGTGGAAAAGCGGCCCAAACAAGAGAAACAGGGATCGCTGAACAATGTAATTGGACTGATCGCCGGCGCAATTGGGGCCGCTGTAAAACATTAAAATAACAAAATTGAAAGAGCGATTTCTAGATTTTACCATGTAGCCTCAAGATGGCGAACATCATTGACGAACACGTTTTGCAGGCGTCTCAGCCAGACGAGATGTCAGAAGAAGCTGAAAATGAGGGAGATGAAGGGGAGGAGGACATGGAGGAGGAAGATTCGGGATCCAGCGATGATGATGATTTGGAAGAAACAGCTATTAAAGAGCTGGAATCTCAGGTGAACGGTTCGACGGCGTTTAGATGATTTAGGCTACGTTGACATGGTTGACGTTCATACATGACGTTCAGTTACCCCCCAGAACTGTGGGGTCCGACGTCCCTCTCCCATCGGACCGTTACATGTAGACGTGTCTGTCAAGTGTCATGTCTGTCACTGCCAACACCTGAACACTGGTCACTGTCCAGCACAATCGTAGAAAGTGTGCAAATTTCATTTTTTTTGCGATTTTTTTGTTTTATTAGGGTCCTACATCATGTATTAGGTTGCGCAAATTTTAAATCACGCAGATAACGTTGAGTGCAGTCGTTGAATGTGGGCAATTTTTGTGCCTTGAACGATTTACACACTGATTTAAAGGGAGCTATGACGATCGTGATGGTTGGCGTTTTACTGGGCCTGGCTGTTTTTGGGGTAGGCCTAGCCCCAATCTACTTTGAAGTTTTTCCGGTAGGCCTATCTGGTTCTTAAGTGTGACATCACTTCAGTTTAAACCACGCCCACTGCACATGCGTTGCACATAGAGTTATGTGCATTGATTCCCATGTACATGGAACCGGAAATTAACATGCAACTTCAGCAATCGTCCAATGGGAACCTGCACGTTGTGGTGCGTCTGCATGTATGACGAAGTCACTTACGAACTGGATTGGCCTACAATGACATAGGGCTGAGTCAGTTTGACTAATTCACTGAATATTCGACCTTCAATTTCATCGAATACCCAAATATTCGGTCATACCGACCAGCAATAATTGATGAACAAACCATATACAACATCAGTTGCAATAATGAACACAATTGTACATTATAATCACTATGAAAAGTATGATAGTTTCTCATGTCTAGGAGTATATCTCCAGTCATGATTTAGCAAGATTTAGAGAAAAGCAAAATTACTTCTTGTCCTGTTGAAAATTCTGTTCCTTTTAATTTTTCTAATGAATAATTACTTATAAAACATTGTAAAATTTCTGTGGCTTTTCATTTGAATCTGCTTGAAACAAGCCTCCATAGTGCAATTTCCTCGATTAAATCAAAAGAAACTTCTCCCTTCCTTTTCATGAAATTTGCAAAATTGAATATATAAATTCGGAAAATAACATTCGAATATTTGATAATCAATCGAGAATTGGGATGTCCAGCACAGCCCTAGAAATGACAGTGCTTTTTGTACAGTGCTGCAACTGCAGGATTTGGAAGTCATGTTATGGCTTACATAACTGTAGCCTCTCTGGTTTATTCTTGTCATGACTTTGGTTTCTCATTTGGTCAGGCTGGGGAACACGGCGTTTCACAATAGTGTGCCTCCAAGAGTTTGCTACGCGTTGACCGATCACAGTGTGCGAAATTTGTCGACCCATTTTGTGTTTCGAAAGGGTCGACATATTTGGCAACTTGTGATTGGCCAACGCGTTGCAAACTCCTAGAGGGACACTCTTGTGAATCGCCGGTATTCTACTTTGTTATTCCATTTGATTTTCGAGGTTGGACTTCATCCTGAAAGACATTGAAATTGGCAACAAAATTGGGATATTTCATCCACATAACTTTTGGCATTACAGAGTTAAGACAAATTTTCCATTGTCAAATCAGCAGAAAGTTCTGTTGCTTAGAACTCTATTTATTGGTACTCATACATGCAGGTCTCATCCAATCCATATGAATACAATGGTCACATTGAACTGATTAAGCTTCTGCGGAGGGCTGGAGAGTGGGACCGGCTTTGTCACGCCTACCAGCGCATGAGTGACCTCTTCCCTCTCACAGCAGGTATAGTGCGGTCATTCTAATGTAGTGTCAACTGACACAATGATTGTCAACAAATTTGATGTTGGTGGTCATCAACCTGAAAATGCACTTTAAAACTTCAAAATAACTTATTATAGTTAGAAGATTCTCACATCTATCATGTGAGAAAAAGGGGCAAATTCACCTCCAGATTCTGGAAGAAAAAATTATGAGTGGAAGTCGTATCTGTCTTTTCTCAATCAGTCATGTGTGAACTAGATGATGGCCCAGTCGGGTTGGAAGAGCGCCACTGTCATTTTCATAAATTGTCATTCACAATTCCAGGCTAAAACATCATTTTCAACGATTGCGAGGTATTGAATATGACATTAAGAAGCCCAATTATTATTGTAAAGATACTGTTTAGCCATGAAATTTCTTGTTTTGTTTGTTGACTCTTGTTGATTCCACATGGTCATGTGCTTACCGTGTTATTTTTAACACTAGCATCATGAATGGGGACCCAAGCACCAGACTGTCTCTGTATCTTGTGCCACATATCCAGAGGTGGAAAAAAATTGAAAAGATCCAATTAATGAGATCTTAGGAGCAAAAGACTGTTATACAAGTTGATTTCTGGTTAAAAAGCCTCGTAGCCTTCTAAAATGAACAGAAAACTATTGCTGTACTTGTTGAAGTCTGCTTCTTGTGCAATTTTCAAACGATAAGCACTGCTAAAGTTCATCTGACAATTACACCTTTTACAAAATGTATGACCACAAATCTGTGGGCTATTTAAGATGCTACAAATTAAAGCAGAGTTGAGGATTTGTAGAATCCGTCTTCTAGTAGTTTATATAGGGCTAGATTCTTACTCCCTCAAAAGTTTCAGTGCAAAGAATGTGCTGTTGTTCCCTCTATTAAAGGTGGATGATTTTTCAGGATCCAGGAAGGTTCACTCTACGTCTGAGTTCTAAGCTTATTTGTTGAGCCCCCCCCTTTTTTTTTAGTTCTCTGCAACAGATCCATGTGAGTCAGGGTTTGTCAGCATAGTGAATTCATAGTTCTTCATGTTTTCAAAGGAAAGAGTTCCATATATGGACATCACTTGACACCTTGTGCACAAACCCTGTGAGACTGGTCTGGAAATTCCGCATGTTTTCTAAGTAAATGCTTCAATATTTTCACTGCTAAAATGAACTTGTTAGGACATGGCAAACAAACCACTGCAAGGGAAAATGAATGATATCCGTACGTGGAACTCGTACCTTTTCAAAATAGAATATTTACATGTATGTCTCGTCTCTGTCAGAGTTGTGGCTGGGTTGGATCAAGGATCAATCAGCTTGTACCCGACTCCGGACGGAAGAGAAGAGGTCTACAAGTTATTTGAGAGGGCGGTCATGGATTATGTGTGTAAGTGTTAGACTCGATTCAGTTACGCAGAGGGTCACTTTGTATTCTTTTCTCTGCAGAAGAAATTTCGGCAGTCAACAGCTATTTAATGCACACCTTGGACCCGTATTGATTTTGGGCATAACTAGACAGTAACCCATTCAAAGCACTGGTATTGGTGCAGGATGCTTGTGTACCATTGACACCACGGAGTACCAGTGGTCCATCAGTACATGCATGGGCTTTAGGTCATTTGAGATAATCAATACTTAAGTGAGACTGGCCCATCACACCAACTCACAGGTACTAAAAATGCTTAAGCAGGGATAACATCTGGCATTGTTATCCCATGTGACCCTGCCTTGTGTAAATAAACTGGCTCATTGGCCTTTCTGTGCACATTCAGATGAAAATTGGTCATGGAGGCTGTGGCATTCGCCTAATGCGTTAGCCATTGTGTGCTCATGATGTGTCATTCAGGCCACACCGTTATCTACAGTTCCCTCAGTTAATGCTGAATGATATACATGTAGGCCTACCACATAACCCAGGTGTTCACTATGCATGCACATGGATGGTATTGCATTGTATCCTTTTTTTTTTAAATGTGAAGGCACTTTTCCATATGTTCACTGTTTTGGTCCATTCCATCTGCATCCGAGTGCCGTGTTTCACTCTGGTACAATTTCATCGGCTTAGGCCTGTCTCCATTCTGTAAACAGCTCCAGACGTGTGGCTTGAATACGGTCAGTTCAGCATCGGCGGTATTGGGACACCAGAGGGCATCGAGAAGGCGCGCAGCGTCTTTGAGCGAGCGATCGCTGCTGTTGGCTTACACGTCACCCGGGGCAGCGAAGTGTGGGAGGTGTATCGGGAGTTTGAGAATGCTCTGCTCAGGAACTGGCAGGTAGTAAACCAAGAGCATTCCAGTGGAATGTGTCGGTAGATTTGACCGTTTCTGCGTGTTGATTGATAAAGTGAAGTTTCTGCACAGGTCAGAAAAGTTACATAGATTTTTTTTTACTGGGAAGACGACAGGAACATCATGATGACAGACGATCAGCATTCGAAAAAATGGAACTGTTTGGAAGGAACTGTTATTAAAAATATGTCTATAGCTCGTATGACAAAGAATTGAACGGGGGTAGAGAAAGACTTGTGCTAGACAAAGGATGCAGGTTTAAACAGACCTGAACTGGTTTAAAGTAACGTGGTTCTCAGAGAGTATGTGTCCTGACCAAAGCTAATTCAAAACACCATACCAAGGAGGTAAAACTCCAGTCACTCATTTCAACTTCAGCTGGTAATTCATCGTCACACCACTTCCTGGAAAAAAAAATAGTGATTTAGGCAAATTTTCTCCGCATTTCCACAAGCTCAAACCTACTGTACCTTGGAATTCGTGAGTTCAAATTTATCTTAATTGGATAGTGTGCCATGTAGTCTTCTACTGAGACCCAAGCAGCAGCTTTTTCATGGCCCTATTTATCATTCATTTCTCACGAACAGCTCCAGCAAGGAGCTACGGTAACAGCCGAGGACAAGAACATAACCGGATCAGACAGAGAGAGTGTCTGCCATCTTTAGGCGACAGCTGTCCGTACCGCTCATGGGTAAGATGGCGCGAGTTTTTTGTATGAATCCCGTGGCACAACGTGCAGTTCCTGGGACTGTAAGACAGCTTCTCACAAGTCCTTAGAATGTGGAAATTGAGTCCTTAATTTGTCCAGAATCCATCGGATGGAGGATGTTTGTGTTCTTGAGCTGTTTACTTTGTTATTGGAGCCCCATGACACGTAATATCCTGTCCCTTAGGCTTGGAGTCACTCACTAGTACATGGATATGGACTGTAGGAATTGAGCCCTTACTTTGTTCAGAATCCATCAGATGGAGGATGTTTGTGTTCTTGAGCTGTTTACTTTGTTATTGGAGCCCCATGACACGTAATATCCTGTCCCTTAGGCTTGGAGTCACTCACTAGTACATGTATATGGACTGTAGGAATTGAGTCCTTACTTTGTTCAGAGTCCATCGGGTGGAGGATGTATGTGCTCTTGAGCAAGCTACTTTATCTCAACTGTTATAACTCCACACAGTATTCTGCCCTTTATAACTCTGCCCATTCTGCTTGGGAAGGAATAACTGATTATGGTAAGTTTCTTTTATTACTGGTGTTTTCAAGTCTCATCTGCAAATGTTCCTCAACTCTGAATCTCCCTTCAGACATGGAAGACACGTACAAGGAATATGAGAGCTGGCTTAGCGAGCCTGTGTCTGAAAACGTCAGAAAAGCGTACGAGAAAGCCTTCGCCCAACTCAAGAAACGTGAACCTCACGAGCAGCAGCTGGTAAGCTTGACGTTCTCTCCCCTCCCCCCTCCGTGACGAGGCTAAAAAAAGGAGATCCACGGAGTGCTTGGACAAAATCAGTATTTTGTCTACCCCTTTTTCAAGGTCATGTACGGGGTGTCGTGTTTTGTTCCGAAAAATTTAATGATCAGAAAATATCTGATGACCAACAGTAAACTCACCCACTGCTACTTAAACGAAAGAAATTCCAATCATGTCCCCGCTGCAGATGGGAAAACTGCCTTCTCCCAATCTCGGATGCTTTTTTGTTTTCAGCTGAAAGCAGAGCCTCCCGTTTTCGCAGTCTACCAACCCTACTTGGAGTACGAGAGAAGAGAGGGCAATCCAGCACGTATTCAGTGTCTGTACGAGCGGGCGTTGACCGATAACTGCCTACAGATCGAGCTGTGGAAGGACTACACCAAGTACCTCGTAAGTTTGTGCATCGGCGGACTTCGTCATGACGTACGGATGCGGAGGTTATGAAGTTTGCTGTTGTTGATTTGCATGGAGCAGTGGAGTTAATTTAGTTTGCATGTTTAAGGTGTTAGTTCAGTGGTTCTTGGTGGAAGTTTCAAAGGAACCAGTCAAGGGATGTGTAAACCCGCACCGGTGACTTCGAAATGTTTGGTTTGCTGTTGATTTAATGATTAATTCACATGCAGATCAGAACTCGTACTTTAGAGATGCAGGGCTGTAATTCCAAGACTAGTTGCTTTCCAAAAAGAGAAAGTGGAAATGTATCACTGCATGTATTTATGTACAACACTCTTATCTGATGAGTCCAGAAATGGTTTTCAGTCTCCATATGCTATTCCTGACTGCAACATTCTCTGGCATTTCTGGAATATTTTTCCTTCATCTCTAAACTGACTAGTTTCGTTATGCTACTCCTTGCATTTTTTTTCTAGTTTCTATACAATTTGGAGGAATCCTTGATTTCATACTACTCAAAAGCTTAATGAGAATATATAATGATCTGAAATGGATCAATCGTATCTTTTTTGTATTGCCTAGGACTCTGAATTGAAGGTAAAAAGCGTCGTTTTGCCTGTCTATGCCAGGGCTGTCAGGAACTGTCCTTGGTCTTCGGAGCTCTGGATTGGATACCTGGTGACCATGGAGAGATATCAGGAACCACACAGTACTGTCACTGGTAGGGGCTGTTTTCAAAAAGCACAAGTCTCCTTTCAAGCTCAAGTCTCCATATCACTGCTCGTTGGGCCCACAAACATTCCTTAAACCATCTGAGCTCCCTGGGGAGGGCTCAGCTCCATGCATCCTTTTCAGATGCAAATGGTCGAACAAACTCAACAAACTGTGTCTGGTACCAATGCAGGTACCGGTTGTACTCCCGGGAGAGAGGCAAGTTGGAGTAAAGTGGCTTGCCCGAGAACACAAAATGTAAACCAGCTGGTGGATTCGAACATCCCCCGTGCCCCCTCATTCCGTGATCAGGCACTACAAATCCTAACCACTAGGTCACACAACCAACTTCTCGGCTGAGAAGGCATTGACGGTTTGTGAGTCAATCTCTCTGATGTTGTCGACCCCTTTTCTTATGACAGAAACCTTTTGAGAAGGCCCTCGGTGCCGGCTTCTCATCTGCCTCCGAGTATCTGCAGCTGTGGCAAACACACATCGACTACTTGAGAAGGAGGATAGACTGGGGCTCCGGTACGTCCTGCAGCATGTCAGTGGGCAGAAGCACGGGCACTGGGCGTGGCATTTCATAGTAGATTGTCAGAGGCGCGGGGTACCTGTTTGGTGAAACCTAGGACTTCTGCTGCGGCACTTTGAGCAGCTGGTGAACGTTATTTAAATGCTACTCTGATGACGCACGGATCAAAAAGACCAAGTCTTATTTATGATGCAGTAGAATCTTACTCTAAAAGTTTCGAAAAGATGCTCCTGCATTTCATTAGGTACAAATGATGCCCTTGCTTACCGACGATCATTTGGGTACTCGATGTGGACCCTACTCAACAGCAACTTTCTTTTCATCAGTAAAGCCTTGTGATTATAAGCAGGATTTGTATTCAGCTTCTCATTTTGTTTGTTCGAATATTCCCTCTCAGAGCACGAAGAAGAGTTATCGCAGCTCAGAGCAACCCTTGAGAAAGCGGGGGAACACTTAGCAACCTGTAAGTAGGAAGTGATGTCTGGAGCCACATCTTTCTGTGCTGATGGTTTTTTGCCCTTGGTGTGCTGCTGCGACCGTTCTTACCCATATTTATTTATGTCCTTGGTGCATTGACTTAACTGGTTTTAATATCGTTGAGACTGGCAGAGTGAGAATGTATTACGTTGCTGTGGTAACACCACTCCCATTTTGAGTTGCTTAAGAAAGCCCATGAAAGAAATCCTCTAATCGGGGTCTCCCTAAAAGCAGTTGTGCCCCGCCTACGAAAATTTGGTTTTGTTGTCTACCCTTGCTCTTTTCTCGTGAGCAAAACTGGCCAAATGTGCGAATCTTTGTTTGGGTAGAACTCTGAGTAGATGGAAAGTGGTTGAGACTTGTTTATTTGGCGCTTGTTTCCGTTGGCAGATTTTGGTGTGGACGGGGACCCAGTCCGCAGCCTTCAACAGTACTCGGCTAGAATGGAGGTACGTTGACAACTCGGAAAAGTCCCCTCGGCCTGTCCAAATTGTCTCTAGCCATGAAAACGGGCATATCTTCAGCCGTGCAGATCTGGCAAGGATACGCACCCCTCTCCTTGCTTTGTATGTTCAATTTTATTACCGTTCACAAAGGCAAGAAATTAGCCTGGAAGCAATTTTATTTCTGCCGGGAAAGATTCTGCCCTGATTTAACTGTCGGGCTTTTCCAACATTTATTAGCCCCTATATTTGAGGTTAATTCTCTCAGGAAAGAAGTTTACAGAAGATGTAATTTTTGTAAAGTATGTGGAGTTTTGACAAAGGCGGTATATTCCCATTCTGAGGGTTTTTTTTCCCACCCGCCTTATATTCTTCGTCCTTTAGTTGGTGTTGTTGTGATTTTGTTGCCTTGTGTTTCTTGCCGAATAGGCCAAACACTGTGGCAACATGGAGGCAGCCAGATCACAGTGGAACGAGATCATGGCGCTGGGTCATGCAAACGAAGCACAGATGTGGCTGGAATACGTCAATCTGGAGAGGTGCGAACATGAAAAGTCTAGCCGTCCTTTCCCACCCCCCCTTCAACTTTTGGATTCCTCTTTTCAAAGATTTGTTTCACACACCCCAACCACACCCCCCCCCTTTTATCAGTCACTGCCGCCGTCATTTAGATTGCTATAACCGTCCCAGATACTTCAGAAAAGTTTCAGAGGATTTTGAAGAATCAGGGAAGGTACAGTAGAGTGCAAACTCGGCATGGTTTTTCCCCAAATAAACCATGCTGTATTTGTTTTGCTACACCTCATAAATATTCAATTAAATGTTCAATTCTGCAGGTTTGGACTGAGAAACCTCTTCAAAATCCACCTTTTGGTCTTGAGAGTGTTTTTCCAGGAGCCTCACTGCCTTGTCAGTAACTGCCTTCATTGATTTTGAATCTTTATTCGGCACATTAAGTTCAAGTTTATGGTCAGATAAATACAGAAATCTAATGTTCCTTGTACTCACAGACGCCATTGTTGTTTCTCAGCTGCTAAATTTCCGTGTATTGAAAGTCGAGTGCAGATGTGCATAAAAACAGGGCTTCACGTTCAATAGTCTGGTGCTGACATACATTTTGGGTTTTTACTGTATTTTACTAGTTATTAGGATACAACTCCAGACTGGTTCCATAAAGATCACATGACACAGACTACATATTTACGCGGTGGGGTTCCAGAGGGACTTTTAGGTGCTACCAGAAAAAACTACCGCATGGCAGCGAGGTGGATACTCACCGCTATGACGTCACCTGGTCGCGTTTTATTTCTACTTCCTAAACGCGAGGTGGAATCGGCCAATGACGCGCTCCGATTTGCTCATGAATATCTATGAGGTGTAGTAAAGCCCAGCTACTGTTGCTTCACTGGGGACTCTCTTCCCCCTTGGAAAGTTGATGCCCCTTAAATGTTCCGTTGTTTCTTGCACATTTGGAAAATTGAAGAGGATTTAAGGCGGCAGTTCACACCCCAGTAAATATAGTTCTCTCAGAATAAAAAAACATTACAATTCGGGTTTGTAGTCAAATCCATCCCAAGTCCTTATAAGAATCCAGTCACGTGTCCTTTCAGAAAACCTGCAAGGTGAACAGTTAAAAAAAACGGAAGGCTTTGAAAAGCTTGTGACCTGGTTTTAGACTGGGTGACTTGCAGTGGACCTGTGAAGGACTCAACTTACAGCACTGTCAAAAATGAAACCCTTTTTTTTATTTCTCCAGATCTTATGGCGATGCCAAGCACTGCCGGAAGATCCTCCACCGTGCTGTCGCAGCCGTCAGCGATTACCCGGAATGCCTCTTTGAGGCGCTGATCAATTTTGAACGGGAGGAGGGCACCTTTGAGACGTGGGAGAATGCCCTAAAGAGGGTGGAGACGCAGATGGTCAGGGTCAGTGAGATGAGGTCAAAGGTGAGAGGTCACTCGTTGCTTTCAAAGGTCACAGGTGACTGTGGTTCTTATTTGAAAAGCTTATATGTTTAAGACCTGAAGTTTCAATTCTGGCTGAATCTCTCTAAAAAGCAAATGAAAAATGTTATAATTATTTTGTTAATTGTAGAAAATGTGACTATACATGTATTGGTTTGTGACATTTTTAGTGATGAAGCTGAATGACTCATAGAAACCATTGTTGTAGTCAAGACCCCTTAAAACACTTGCAAGACTTCCTGTCTGAACTCAAGTCATAAGCTGAGCTATTCAATTAAGCTATGACAAGAAGCATTTCTTTGTGAAAATGTACCCTGGTCTTGTGATGGTCTCAACAGCAGCACCCACAGAAACTATAAAACAATTTTCAATTTCTACCCTTTGGCTGCCTGCAGCAGGCTGCCAAGGACCAACAGGAGACCGTCCAAGAATCAAGCAGAAAACCGGCAGGTGCCAAGATCAAAGGCAACAAAGGGAAGGTGAGTTTTCAGACTGGAAAGAAGTGCTTTAACCCTAACCCTCCTCAGTCCTCCAACAGGTGAAGGATTGAGGAGGGTTAGGGTTAAGGAAGCAGTGTCAATTGGTCAAGACGTGCCACAGATTTGAGCAGACCCTTCTCGAAAAACTTTTTTGTCGCTTTGTCCATTATTCTGCACATGATCGATGTTCTGAAGGCTGACCTTCAAAAGAGATTGTCAGAAAAGTCCACCAGTGCATGGTTTGGACACTTGTAACGTTTGTCCAATTTGTGGGGAAAATGTAACCGGTGGAAATGTTTATTGTGGTCAAATTTGCCTTTGCAGGGTATGTCAGAGTATGTGGGTTATTGCTGACAAAAATGAGAAAGTAGGAAAATAATCTTTTAGACAGTTCTTGTTTTTTTTTATCTCTCTGCAGCAGAGAGGGCAAGATGACAGGAGGCAAGACAGAAATGTCAAAGCAGTGAAGAGGAAAGTGAGTACTGGAAAAAGTCCAGTCAATCTTGGCTTGTTCCTCAAAGTAGTTTAGAGATTCTTGAAGTGCTTACTACGATCCAGGGGATATTGCACTGCTTGAAAGTTACTCTGTACAATCTACCGCTCCACGTCAGCCTGGAGTCTTGGCCTGTAATCTTCGCTGTCACAATTTGGTAGAGTGATTAACATCTATCTCTGAATCTAAATCCAGATTGGTCTAGATCTTATTGGGCATACACAGAAATGAATCATACCTAATTTGCCAATTTAAATGTTTAAGACTTGTTAATTACTGATTGAAGTAGGTTATCTTATTGAAATGTGGAAGATTATCTATGAACAGGACTTCCCTTCTCTTAAGAAATTACATTGTGGTGTTGTAATTTTTCTTTTAGAATATGAAACCATGCCGGACTGTAAATTTTATGACACTTGGGAAAATGTTCCTGAAAAATCTGTGAGTGGAGTGATAACAAGCTGTAGTTTTGGTCGGATAAATCTTAAAAGGCATTCTTACCAATTCTGCTTGAAAGCATTCCGATGAAAAACCCCAGAAGCCTGTCACCTTCCTCGCTGCCGGAGACTCTCCCAAATCACAGGATGGAGGAGAGGAAGTCTTCAAGATGCCCCTCCCACCCCCCCCGCCAAACAAGACCGCCTCCCCAGTGAAGTCAGCCAGCAGTCAGCCCGGCCCAACCCCTCCCAAGCAGGCCAAAACCAGCATAGCTCCTCTCAAGCAAGCTAAAGGTACGGTAGCAACTTGTTCAGCCGTTTTAAGAAAACAAAAGTGTTCATTGCAACTGTGAATTGCCCGTGAAAAAACTCAGCTCTTAATTTTGGTGTATCACTCATTTTGTCATCGTGGTGATGTAGGGCATCATGTGGGTGAAAAGCGATCAGAATTCCTCTTGATTTACGTCATTTGAGATTGTTTTAAAGGTCTTTGAGTCAAAAGTTGCTCTTGTGACGTCCGACTCATTTAAAGTTGGGTCACAGTTAAAGCTTACTGAAATCATTGCAACCAGCAGCTTCTCTCTTTTGAAAGAAATTCCTCCTCCGTTTCTGTCTCTTTCAATCTTCCTGCTCATTACTCGTTTCCACGTTTGTATTTCGGATCGTCAGAGGAGGAGGCGAGCGGCCAATCACAGCCGGGCGTGAGGTGGGGTCCGCCCCCAAAGCAGAAACCCGCCCGTGACCCCAGCAAAGATCACCTGACCATATTCGTCAAGAACCTCTCCTACGAGACGACGGAGAAGCAGATCAGAAGCCTCTTTGTGGAGGTGTGTTGCTTGGAACATTGCCATCTAAGAGTTGCTGCAGTTTGGACGGACTCAAAAATATGTTATTTCATTTCTTTTACAACTTATAAGACTGCATTAGGCTTGAATTGTTTTTTATTCCAATCTGTTATAGAAGCATTCTGGTTACAGCAGGGTAGTCTGGCTTGTCCTTGCAAATTGTATGATTAAGAGTTGACTCCAACGTCTCTTTGGACATTTTGTTGTGTGAATGCTTGCAGATTGCAGATTCTTGCAGATTGTGTGCTAAGGTCTGATTTTGCTTGCTTAGCTGAGATCATTTTGGTTTTTTTTGCTAACCGTAAATGGTGTTGGTCTTGTTTTTTTTCAGTGTGGTGAAATTACAGAGGTCAGGATGGTGGAGAACTATCGTCACCAGTTCCGAGGGTATTGCTACGTGGAGTTCCAGGAAGAAGTAGGTGTTCCTTTTATTTGATTTGATTTTAGAAAGATTTGATTTGAAAGATTTAGACAGATTGGATAAGGTGGAAGACCTTGAAGTTCTGGAAAGATTATAAACAATCTGAACAAAATTTTCACTTTTCCTCACATCATCTGAGTGTGCCAACGTGGTTTGTTTTCACCGGGACATTTTTCAGTAGTTTTCAGTGTTTCCTGAGAGCGTAGCAAGTGTTCTGTTGCAACCATTTAGAAAACGCAGAGCACATCGCGCTCCCTATGGTCACCAATTTTTTCATGAGTGAAAATTGAATACTGTAAACGAGGCTTGCCACCGGTTTTCACAGCAAGATTTTTTTTCCCGATAGTAGTTTTTGCTGTTGAGTTGTACTGCTTCCGTAGATTTCAAGGCTGATGGTCAGAATTTGTTAATAGCCAATTTTACAAATTCCTGTCGTTTTGTCTTCCCTCTGACATTAAGAGTTCAGTTGAGAAAGCACTGAAGATGGACAGACAGTCTGTGGAGGGCCGTCCAATGTACGTGGATCGCTCAATGGATAAATCTACCACAGAAACCAAGAAAACATTCCAGGTAAAATGGAATGCCAATGAGTAATCTATCATCGGCTGGATACAGCATATCAGACGTGAAGCACTGCACACAAAAAAAAGCCACGCTCACTTGTACTGGATCCCTGATATTGCCATTTCCCGGTTCAACACTTTGCACTGCATTCGCAGTGTGACACATTACGATGTGTTCTTCCGGGGGCCCGCTTCAAGCTGAAACACTAGACTTTGGGACAGAGATTCTCGTTGAGACTCTGTGCATGAACAATAGAGGTCGCTTTGTTGCCTGGCAACAGCAACCTGCTTGGCAGATTCAACTGGCACATGCGGTACTTCGAATTTCTTTGTCCAGTAGACAGTAGCAACAAACAAGGACAAATGTTAGAGCACATACACTTGTTTTCTATACGAAGTGTGGACATTCCTTTGTTCTCCTGTGGTTAAGGTAAATGCTCCTTTTTCTCCCGATAGGATGACTCCTTGGAGATGAATTTGTGTTGATGATTTCTTGGACTGTTCCCCTTCATTTTGCCACCTCAAAATGCCTCTGAAAATGTTTTTCAGAGAGGGGAAAACGTTGTGTGGACGTGTGCAAGTCCACACAAAGCCATTGCACCCTGCATTATGTGGACTTCTTTTGTGCAGAGGTCCATACTATGTATGACACGCCTATATACAGAAACCGCTGCAAACTGCTTACTTGCTCCAGCAGCTTGAAACGCACAAAGGAAGAAAGTCACAGGGCCCCTTTACGTTTCTATCATCTCTGAATCTTTCTCGAAGGCAACAGAGCCAAACTAGAATGCAGAACACCAACTAATCAGTGGAGCAGCCACTCAAGTACATGTGATTTGTGTTTGCTGATTATCCATGTCATGATTCCTTGAACCATTTTAACCATTTTATTCCCCCCCCCCACCCAGTATGCGATGAAGATGGAAAAGAACAAGCTCTTTGTGTCCGGATTGCCGCGGTCAGCCACTGCCAAACAGCTACAGGAGCTCTTTGGCCAGGTGAGTAGGTTGTCATTCAGGGTCACCCAGAGGATCAGCTTCAATACGTTGACGCAGGCCCCGTGCCAAGGGATACGTGGGTGAAGGAGAGATGGTGTTTCCCGGTGAGGTGAAAACAAGTTTGCATGCAAGTCTGTGGGTGTGCGGTATTGGGGCATGTGCTAACATTTTTTTTTTCTAGGAATCTACCATCTCTTTGACGGCGCAGGATGCCTAGTTGAAAGTGTCGCCCACCAGGTCGATAAGGGGAGGCACTTGGGCTGAAAGTGGATTACTGAATACCAAAGATCTTTGTGTTCAGCTGATATGCATTTTCCTAAAGACCCTAATTCTCCATTTGTCTTGGTTCTAAAAACAAAAAAAATGTTGCCAAGCAAATTGACATTTTCTGTGGAAATTAGCCTAGAACCATATGCATAGCCTGACATTGGGGTCAATATTACAAAGCAAATATTTTTGTATGTATAGCATCAATTTGTTACTGTTATCAGTGTTTGACAAGCCTGTCAATATTTCCTAAACACAAGTTTATTTTCCTTAAATGCCTTCCACATCTCTTTCTGACCTTAGTGTGGTTTTTCCCTCACAGTATGGCAAGATACAAAACCTCCGAATTGTGACCTATCGTAGTGGCGTCCCAAAAGGTTTGGCATACGTCGACTTTGAACAAGAGGTGAGAATAATCGAAACCTTTACGTGAACATGTGGCATCTGTCCTTCAAGGGTTAAGGAGCAGTTGGCTAGGAGACCATATTGGAATGAAAAACAGTGTGAGGACATTGAGTTGACTGATGTTATAGACAGATCGTGTCTTGATGAACACCGTGTTGTTTCTGCACGGGATAGCAAATTTCTTGTCAAAGAGAACAGGATCCGGTACCCATTTGCAGCACATATTTTATAGCAAGTTCCAGGAGCTTGATGTTGACGTACAAACCAAGGAGCAGGTGTGTTGTAGCGAAGCTTTGAAAATTCAAATGACGGTTCTTTTTTTTTTAGCTTTGACGTATTCATCTTGATGCATTTCTGACATTGTTTTCATTTGCATTTTGGACGTTACGTTTAAATATTATAGGCTTATCCGAGGCATCAACTCGAGAAACGGCCGCAGTGAAACATGTTGTATTGGCTTTGCAGCCGCGCTTGTTCACGGGTGGGCAGAGGCCTTCGTGAATTGTCCGGATATTTGTAGAACCACAAGAAACCACTTACATGTACTTATCTCTCACAGTCGGATGCAGCCCGGGCCGTTGTAGGAGCAGACAGCACTGTCATGGATGGACACACCATCAGCGTTGCCATTAGCAACCCGCCAGCACGGAAACCAAAGAAAGAGGACAAAGAGGAGGCGGCAAGTGAAGTGGCCGAGTCCCCCTACCCTCCCAAGTCCCTCGGAGCAAAGTACGTTGACCCCTACCCCTCCACCACCCACTCTATCCCCTCATGACAAATGAGAAATTCCCTTCCACAGTGGGATCTGTGATCCTGAGGAGTTCATATGCAAAAGCTGATAAGCACCAATTTTACAGCAATGGGGGAACTCATCTCCCTAATTAACATTTCTTCTGAAGAGTTGAAATTCTCTTTGGATTAAATTTTTTAAAGTGCCAATATTTTTTTGTTCATTGCTGTCGTAATTAGGGGCGTTGTGGGTCCACGGGGTAAGGGTCGCACCCAGCTGTCGCTAGTGCCGAGAGCACTGCAGAGGACGCCAGCACCTAAGACCCAACAAAGCCCCAAGACAGCAGGTCAGCGAGAGGGGGTGACAAGCCAGGTGACAGAAGGGAAGCCGCAAGCCCAGACAACAGGAAAGATGAGCAACGCTGACTTTGCCAAAATGCTGTTGAAGAAATAAGAAATGAGCCACGAGTAGGTCGGTGAATGACCTAACTTCAAAGAAAAAAAGCTGGTCTTTTTAGGTTTTTACCGTTCTCACAAGGTGACAAACTGTACAAATAGCAGCCTCCAAGCTGAAAAAAAACTGTTGGCTTCTTTTTTTTCCTTTCCTCCCGGGTTTCAAATGAGAAACAAGCCCCATCCCTTTGCGAATGGTCAAATTTGTGTCTTTCAGTCTTGGTGGCAGTATCTCTCAAGCCTGGCTCTGTTGTAGCCTTCATATCATGTTAGTCACTTTCTAGAACTGCTCCATGCATTGCAGTAGAAAAACTAGGACAGTGGATGTCAGCAAAACACACACACTGTAAGGAATGCCAAGCTAAGCACCCTCCAATGCAATCCATATAGACTCTTTGCTGGTAAGGTATGCATGGTGGATCCAAAGCCAACACGGGGGGGGGGGCTTTCTGTGGAGGGGAGCAAAAATTGACAAAAGAAAAAATCATATAATTTTTTGACAGCCTTTTTTAGGAGGCTGCATTTTGGGTTTTGACCCACTTTCTGGAAGAAGGAAAAATGAAATCAACCCAAGAAACTTTTAACTTTTTACAGTTTTTTTCTAAAATTAGTTTTAACCCAGGCTCCCTCTAGGGAGGGCATGGCCACCATTGCTTCCCCGCCCCATCCACACCTGAAGGTATGGCATCCTCTGATGCCCTTGTGTGGAGGGTATTGGCATGTCTGGAGCACCAGCCCAAAATGACAGCAAGAGAACAAAGGGGTTGAACATTGACTTACAAGGTCAGAAAGGACTCGTTTGAAAAGCATGTGCCAGGGACTTGGTCTGGCACACTCAAAAGGTCTTGTAAATTACAAGCGTTCCATCTTCTACACTGGACATTCTTCTCGTTGCAATTCAAAATATACTCCAGATATTTCTCACAACCTCTTTTATTTGGCATTTATTTGACACGGCATATGACAAGAAAAGGGTTAAGTGTTGCCAGCAGTTGTTCTCTAAGAGAACGTTAAGCTGACACTAAGAAAGTAAAAGTCGATTGCAAGGTTTTTTTTCAATTGTAAAAGCAAAAGCGTAAGGTTGCAAACAATATAAACTGCTCCATATTTTAATTTTATGCGTTTTTAATGTATAAACTCACCTGCCATGCAAAGATGAGTGTACATGAGTTCATTAGAAATGTATTTATATCATTTCAGCTCTGAAAGCATAGTTTGGTGGTGTTTTTGTTTTCATCGTGGAGATGAAAGTCGTAGAACTTAAAAGGTTTCTTTCCGAGGGAAAAACAAGATTTTTGTATCTCTCTCCGGTTTTACGTTTATTGCCTGTGGCCTTGTCTCACTGGTTAAAATTTGATCTGTACCAGTGACATGGAATTCAAAGCAAAATGGTAAGATGCCTTTCAACATTTAAATCAACTGTTTAGCTTATTTCAAAATAAACATCAGCTTTAGGTTTGTCTGACTTTGTTTTGTGCTTAAACATTACTTAACTTCTGCCTGAAATTCAAAGTGTATTTTTTTTTACCCAATTTGTTTTTGTATGGCTTTACATTATGTAATGCACAGCACCAGTACGAGATTCCATTTGGCATGACTTTCTTGTATTGTATTCACAACTGTTTTTCAGACGGAAAGTCAAAAGAAGTCCAATATTATTAAAATAAATGACTTTGCCAAACAAGTTTTGGACAGAGGATTTTTGGAAGCCGGCAATACAGAAAATCACCCCTTTTGTATCAAAATTGCTACTTCTACATGGTTTGGGATAAGAAGAAAGTGATGCGGTTTAGAGATGTACAACATCACATCATAAGATTAATAACTGTATCCAAAATATTCCCTAAGTTGACCCTGCATAAACGTCCAATGCACACCCAAACCCATTCATTAGAGTAAGTGCCTTTGTACCCTTTGTCTGCTACAGGTGCGAACAGTGTGGAATTTGTCACTCCTGTAGGCAGTATTGTGAGTGGTAACAGCGCACTGACCAGTGAAGCTGTAGAAAAATGAGACTGGTTCCAACCTTCTCCTCACGAGGAGAGTCACATGCAGAGAGCAGGAGTTTCTATGTTGCTCGTGTTCGGTCAAAACGTCATATTTTGGAGCCCGCACGTGGCCCCACAAAACTTCTGTTGACAGGTTTCATCCGTTATTGTCATCATTTTCGTGAGTGTATAAACGTAATCTTTCTCACCACTGAATCTAACCACTGAAAAAGACTATGCTGGATGATGGCAGATCAACACTTTTTCCACATTTATGAAAATTTCTCCATGCTTGTGAGGAGAGGGAAGGAACTGGATGACCCCTATAAACATGCAAACATCACAAGGTTTTATGAGCGCTTAACTTGGCAGGCATCTAGCAGTGCGGAATGAGAATTCGAGTGACGATCTCATCTCGTTCAGATCTGCTGACAAGCTTTGGTTCAAGATTACTGTCCATCAAGGTTATCATCAGTCAAGATGTTCATGAGGTTTCTTATCCTGTCGCAGGGAGCCCACTGCCCCTCCTACAACTCCGTAAAGCACCAACAGGACCGCGAACACAAACAGCGCCCCCACGGGTCCAAAGCCCATAAGCCACAGGCACAGGTACACAACGACCAGCTTGGCAATAGTGTAGTAGCTGGCAAGAAATCGCAGGCTGACCCTGGGCCGGTCGTGGTGTCTTCCGTCCAGCGCCCGCGTGGGCGTGGGACTGTACGACAGCGACCGCTTGGGGGTCTGCTTGTGGGTAGGGATGACTGGGGGAGGGTGAAAGAACTGCTTAGCAACTGCCCCGGTGAAGTCTGGTCGATGGTATAACTCCAAGATCTTATCACTGAACTGGAAAGATAAAATGAACGACAGTAGAATATGTCTTTCTTGAAAACGTACCCGGTCAAACAGTCGTATAAAGTAAAGAGGGTTTAGACAAAGGCTTTCTTACCGTTTCATTGATGCTCGTTGATAACGCATGCAATTTACGCACCAGGAAGGCATTTTCATAGCTCCTGATTGGCTGGAGGTCGGGATCACCTTGGTAGGTGATTTCAAACTTGCGAAGTCCGTTCATCAGCTGCAAGCAGGAAGAGGAACAAGGAGTCAATGGTGAAACTTGAAACTTGAGGGGTTTCAAGAAACAGAAGACCGGCGGTCGATGTCATTAAACCTGGTGTAATCTTATTTATTTATCGGCCCCAATGTACACCAGCTGACATGACTGAATGAGTAATGCCAGAATTTGTTGCAAAACTCGCATACTTTCAAACTGAGTAACTTGAAAAATGTGTCGTACCTGTAAGGTTTAAAATAAGTGAGCTGAACAGAGTAACGCCACCGCACAATATTTTTTGTAATCGGCTGAAGGAGGGTTAAAGTGAACATACAAAGTGATTTTTTAAAAGCATATCACATGATGTCTGGAGGCACTATTTTGCCAACACACCTGGTATCGACCTCGTGGGGTCAACTTCCCATTGATGCACTCAGGCGGCAGGTCATTCTCTTGACCGCCCACACCCCCACCAGAACCACCGTCCACAGAATCATGGGCTACAGAGGGAGCACTGACCTGAAGAAACACACACAAACGCACAGTTTGAAAAATGCTGGACTTGATACTAAATGGGGGAATCAAGTCTGTCACGTTTCAGAGCTTTACACTGAGGGGTTACAAAGCTCCCCATAGTTATTACCCCTGCTCACTGGGCCATGAGATCAGTTTTCTGCAGCAGTTCAATCTGTTCTGTGGCCTCTCAGGTATTTATTGATACTCTTGGGTGGAGAGGGGCAACTGTAAAGTGTCTTGCCTGAAGAACACAAGTACGACGGTGCCTCTGCAGTTCCGAACCCAAATACCAATTCAAATCAGTCGCATGTGAGACCCACTGGACCTAAGCACTCTCTGCCAACTTATGCCCACCGACTAACCTTGAACTAGAGTGATGTCAGGTGCTTTTATCCTGAATGCCCTTGCCTCATTGAAACACTAAATTGGCTTTAATATTGGGTGCATCATATGCGTACCGTGACGCCTGTTAAGTTTGACAACTCACCTGAAACACCTTGCACAGGTAGTCCACCGTCAGCTTCAGGTACCCGCTCAACTTGTGGGTGTCTGCTGGCGCAATGTCATCCTGCAGCTGGTGCTGGCCGTACGACCCCTGACTCCCCGAGGTGAGGTCACCGAGTCCCAGCCACGAGAAGAACCCCTCGTTGGGGTTGGCGACGGGAGTGTAGTTCATGTTGGATACCGTGATACAGGCCTGGTGGACAGCTTGTAATAATCTGTTGATCTTTAAAGATTGAGATGATGACTTGGAACACAGCATTTTTTACCCCTTCGCTATGGAGGACTGCTACTACCGCACCGTTGTGTGAGGATTAGCGCATACCACACGTACAGTCTTTCCAACATGCAGCTGCTGGTTCAATGGGGCCTGCTGCTGGACAAAGCCCTCCATTCAGGGCATGCCACAGCCCAGCAGTCGCGGTCAAAATAATCCCGCCATGAAGGGGTTAAAAAGATGCCTTTACGGAGACATGATTTCATATTTTTTTTCTTCAGGTTTAGTCAATTCTTTTTAAGTCTCAGTCATATTTTTACCGACCCAGGGCTGGTTAAACTGTGGCTGGCCATCAACACAAAATCAGGGCAATAAATCACAGCGTTCAAATATCTGTAGCACTAACCAAAACAACGAATACAAACTGTCACCAGACACTAAAATCAAAATGAGACCCTCTTCAACAATAATGGGGCAAATGTCAATTTTGAGTTAAATCTGACACCGACCAAGGTTGACATTTCTGCAGACTTTGGCCGCCCACAGGAAGAGCGGGCACCTTGACGGCGGTCTTTTGGTCACATACTTTTTCTGGAGTATTTTCTCTATCAAAGCCAACAACCTGTACATGCCGCAGGTCAGACATTCTTTAACCAATTGAGAGTTTTTTTTAAATTGTGGCAACATCTGACACTTTCAAACAACAATGCTTCTTTGCATTTATCACTTATCTGCAACTTAAATGTCAAAGATTGTCTGTCAAAAGATTTGTATGCAGTTTGTAAAAACATTTGGAAGAAAAAGTCTGAAAACCAACAAAGACTCTCTGAATATTTCCTCACATCCTCTTCCCTATCTAGGCTCCTTAAGGCTAGCTAGTAACAGTGACATGAACACTTCGGAGGAATCCTTGGAATTACAAGGAATAAACTAATCATTGAAAAAAATGGATTCGTGTTTCGTTTTCCACTTACTGATAATTTAACCACATCACCGAACAGGGGCTGGTAGGCAAATCCTGGTGCCTCCAGCTCGGCAATCTGAGAGCCTAGGTCTGGGGACGACGGGATGCGAAGAGGGGAAATAAAACTGCTGCCAAACGACCCTGTGCGACCCCGCAACGGGGCTTGGTAGTCCTCAATGAGGCGTCTCTCGGCTGACGAAAGGAGGACAGGTGTCAGAGGGGAAAACAGAAAAGTTTAAATCGCGGCTGTGGTCGAGTCCATCGTGTCGTCCAGTCTTAAGTGAGGTAACAAGCCATTTGCATAGACTATGATAAAAGCCTTCCTTTGGCCTTGATCACCCTGTTAAATGTGACTGGACTAGTGGAAGGCCTTGTGGCTGGACAAGAGTCATCAGTTACATTCGTCTTTTGGTCGCTGTCTTGCAGTTTTTCTCCTTCACTTTTCATGGGAGGGTGAAAGGCTTTTGGCAGGGAGGGGGAAGGATACCACCAGGCAACTGGGTACAAGCCCCGGGTAGAACAAAAACTGGCATAGCCAGTCAGAAATTGGCTTCAAACTGTTCAAGACTTGCCATCCCTCAATTATACAAGCGCCGAAAAAAGGGAGACCTCGTAGCTGTTTCCCCTCCCAGAATGATGAGCAGTGATCGAGACCCTCACGGCAACTCACCACAACCAATGACTTTCTTTCTCCTCAAAATTTTCACGGCTGTGCCCACTTGCCCCCACAGAAACCCTCACCTTCTTCCAAAATATGAGCCAGGTTGCTCTGAGCAAACACCTTGGCCACCCGGAACAGGACGATGGCATTCTTGGGCCCCGTCAGATCCTGGCGGAACGCTCTGGGGAGGAACTCCTGAAACAAGACAGTGTAGAACAGCAGGTTGCAGGACACAAACTTCAACCTGTGACAAAGAATAAAAGGAGTATACTTCCGACATTCACAATGTAATGTCGTGCCTTCCATAGAAACATGCATCAGGGAAAATCAAACCACATCCCATCTGGAACTACACCCGGTTACGATGTGTCAACAAACTCAAGAACAGTTCGCTGGGAACCTTACCAGTTTCAGCAGTATCATGTCCTTGGGTTCATATTTTTCTCTTGCTGTTTTGCCCCAAAAACATTTTGTGAATTCAAACCTGATTTGCTCACTTTTTGAGAAATGACTCATTGAGAGACAGTTGTCTTGAAGGAAATTGTTAAAAAAAATTTATCGGCTGCTGTTTGACTTATTTGAATCAATGCCCTATTTAATACAAGTAGCGACTGAATGTTCTCTCATTTAAGATTCCATTTCCAGAGTTGTGGGATGAGCAAGTAGGAATTTGATGAACAAAAAAAGTTTATTAAAAAGCAGGAAAAAGTGGGATACTCGAGGGCCCAAAAATCTTCTGATGCTACTAAAGCAACCTGCACTTCTTGTCATAGTTTGCCCCACCTTGTTTTTACACCTGACAAGGGCCTCACGTTAAAGCCATGTATTAAACACACTCACCATCTTTCTTCCTGAATGGGTCTGTCCTTGGCCATCTCTCGTGGGTTCACCGGGGATCTGTCTGCTGCCCTCATCTGCTCCGTGTAACGCCAGGGCTGGATGTAGCTCAACCACACCTCAAGTATCTGACCAATCAAATCAGCCAGGGATTAGAAAGGTGGGGGGGGGCTTTTGTTCTTGTTTAGGTCCAGACTGACTGAATTATTACATGAACCGCACAAATTGCATTTGCGACCCAGCCTGACAGAGTGAGTTTGCGCCACAAGAGCCACTTTATGTGTTCAGGACCCTGTATAGATTTGTGCACAATGTAAATCATTGGGAACCCTCAACATTTTCATCAAGGTCATGTCCATTTTTATCAGGACGCCAAATTCAAGGAGCTCAGATTACTGGTTTTGATGCAAGCAAATGCAGAACAAGTAAAAAAAATACCTTCAGGACACATTTTGTAGGGTTCGGTCACATTTCAAGAAAAACAAGCTTTTCTTGATATCAATGCAGCAAATTTTTATACAAAACAAAAACCTGACGTGAGCAGTGCTATTTGGAGACCTGAAGGTCTTCCTTGGCATATTGGGATGATTTTAGCTCATCCATATCAGCACACATCCTGCAAGTCTCACGGTACCTGTCTGAAGGTCGAGTCTAGGGGCCAGTTGTCAAAGCCATGTCGGAGGAAGACGTAGAGTTTCTTCTGAATGAATCGAGGGATGACATACCTGCAGAAGATGCAACCCAAGCAAGACTTGAGGATCTTGCTAATCTCACCAATTCTTGTGAAGTACCAAGAATACGAGGCTTCACAAATGACACTGAACAGGCTAAAAACCAAACACTCTTAAGTGCAACCTATGCTAAGGACTTTGCGCATTTTAAAGAGGTTCACGGATTAGATTTCTTCTGCTTTACCACTTACAGTGAAGAGAGCCCTCTTTTGGTCTTATTTTGCATGCCCTTCTTTGTCATGACAGCAGTGAAGGTTCAAATGAGTATCAGTGCTTCTGAAGGCTTAGTTTGCAGCACTAAAGATGCTTTAGTGTCGTGACTGAGTCCATCATAAGTCCTATTGTAAGTCCAGTCCCAAGTCAGAGTTCATTTGAATAGCTAGTGACTTGAGATTGGATGACTTAGGCAAGGACTACTGGTGGACTTGTAAGGACTTACAATGGCCTTGACTACAACCACTCCTTAGCATGGGTGGAACAGACTGTGAGACATGAGTCTGTACCTCTTCAAGTCGTCCATCTGCTCCTGCTCTGGCTGCTGATAAGCAGAAATGGCCAGGGGAGGCCGGGCCGAGTTCACAAAGAAATGCAAATGCTTGACCAGGATTCGAACCACCCGGACGTGGTCTGAGCTGGGGATGTAGTTCTCCTGTAGTAAATGAAAAAATACAGGAAATTATCCATTTTTTTCAGTGTTCATGATTATTTGCAGTGTGGGTTCTAACCCGTGACTTCCGGCCTACAATTCAACCACCTATCAACACTTGCCCACTTAGCTTCACTCAACAATGATTAGATTTCAATCCAAGGATTTGCCATTCACCATTTTCATATCAACAAGTACAGGTTGGCCGTTTTCAACATACTGTGACAGCTAACACTCAAGTCATGCTTGAATCTCTGGGAATAACAATGTTTTCACTGGTCCCCTGTACTTGCCAAGTTCAGTAACCAACTATAAATCTTGTAAAAAGAAGTATTCAGATGGATTTTTCTGCCGTAAGCTAAGCTGTTTTCATCCAAACAGTTTGTTTTCCTGTACAAATTTTTATTTTGCGATAGATAAGGATAACCATTTCCCCCTTTTTCCCTGTGCCACTGTCGTCAGCTGGCAGGTTAAAGTGCAATCACAAAGTTTAAAGTTCTTCCAGAAAAAATGTAATTTCAATATCCGAGGGTGAGATCGAAGGAAATTGAAAAATCCATGAAATAACCACCAGAGGTTTTGCGGGCCCCACAGCAGCGAAGGGCCTACAGTATATATTTGTGTTTTCCTTTTGACACCCCTTAAAATACGCATTTCTTGTGCTCTAAATCAACTGTTATACATTAAAACACTGTAATGGTAAACTCAGGCTTTTCCTGATTTCAAAAGAGACTGTTTGAAAAATCCTGAAGTCAGAAAAATCCTGATTAAAAACCCCGAAATCAGGGAAAAATCCTGACAAATCTCAACCTTGAGTATCAAATAGATAATTTCTTTCTTTTTCACTGCAGAATTTGAAGCGATACAACTGAAAGATTCAAAAGTTTCAGAATTGGACCTACAAGTACAGATTGTCATTTTTATCGTACATTCGGTTTTGTTTACTTGCTTTTTTCTATCTCACATTGGTGTACTTTCTTACCCTGACATGCTGTCTGAAGCCTTGTTCCTTGGGCTGCAGTGTGTTCTGACTCAGCCAGAATTCCCCCAGTGCCTGCAGCAACACCTCGCTGCGCCATGTCTCCCGGTTGCCGCCGCAGTCCACCGCGGCCGAGGACTGGTGGAGGCCAAACGGGGGCTGGCGTTGGGTGAGCTGGAGGGGGTGACGGAGATGGTGGTGGGACGAGGTGCAGCTGGTGGTATTGCTGCGAAAGAGAGAGCTGTGCTGAGAATCGGCCGAGAATCTTGGGGGCAAAACAAAGGAAAAGAGAAGTACAAGAAAGGAGATATTTAAAGGACATTTGGCCTTTTGACTCATTAGCACCTGCACTATACTGAATTGCACTGTCTATTATTTACAGTGAAGCCGGGTTACCATTGCCATTTAAGTGGGTTTTGGACAGTACAGGGATTAACAGGCTGAGCATCTAAAGCATATGTCAAGCACTTCAGCCTATTCACCCTTAAGCGCCTGTACTGCATCAAATTACACTTTATTTTCACCAGTGAATCCAGGCTTCAGGTGATACTGGGCAGTACAGGGAGTGACGGGCAGGCTGGTTTTGGGTGAAGATACAGTGACCGGTGGGTTAACCTCAACCTTAGACGTGGCCTATTCCCACGCTGAGCCTTATTTCACTACAGTTGCGGTTAAGAGTGATTAGGATTGGCTTACGTTGTAGATTGATCTAGCGACCAGAATTACTGTGCAGCACCATGCTGGAAAGCAGATGGTAAACAGTGTGACATTCCTCTCTAATTGGCCACTGTGACGTGACAAAGTGGGCAGTTAAAAGACCTGGGCATGAGCATCATGCCACTGCATTAAATGGCGTCTTCTCTCCAATGATGACTCAATAGTTATATTTCAATTGGCTACATCAACACCACACGCTTTTTTGGTATTAAAAAGTAAAAAAAAAAATTTTATAATAATTATTATCCATAGATGTCTGCTAAGTATATTCGGGGGAGGGATTGGAAAGGTTGCGTGGACATGGGGGGTCTTCAGGGACCTCAGTCTACCAAGTGCACCATGTTTTTGGACCAAAATGAAAATGAAACCAGTGTGCCCTTATTACAAGAAGTTGAATGGGTAAAATGCATGTATTAATAAGATTAATTTTGAAAAAATGGAATGTACAAAGTGACAAAATGTCCTCGTGCTGGCATTACGTTAACAAGTACCTAATCAGGTTGGCCAGCGGGGGGCGCTAGCACGAAACCACAGTTGGAGCTGCAGCTGTTTTTATGACACATTTTTGGGAGGGTCTTTCGAGAGAGTTTATGCCAGACAGGCCAGGAGTTCGGTGTGGAAATAAACGGCCGAGAACCACAGAAAAAACAGATTTGGAGTGTCAAAAGTGCCTTCTGTCGGCGTGTAAAGAACTCGTAGAAATGGCAGACGTTGCAATATTCTGGCCTCAGTTCTGGGCTCTCATATGTACCGAACACAATTCTACTTGTCAAACTCATGTTTAAGGGAGGCAGGGCCTGCAGAGTGTCTTGGAATGGTGAAGGAGAGTTTGACATTTGGCGTTATTTTGAAGAAGAATTTGACCCAAACCTAGAAACAGTGACACATGGTCTCCCTGTAGTTATACACACAAGTCGCTCACATAAAAGCAGAAAAGGCAATTGCAAAAACAAAACCAAAGTCTGAAACCAAACTGCATCTAATACATTAAGTTTAGCACCTGAGGTAACATCTACTAGGAGTTTTTGTACATATTTCTGTTATTGGTACTTTCAATCTATGGACTGCTAGCAATTAACCATTTTTATGTTTGTTTGGAATGTTTGGCTTAGCTTTGCCATGCTAAAACCAAACTACATCTAATATATTAAGTTTAGCACCTGAGGTAACATCTACTAGGAGTTTTTGTACATATATTTCTGTTATTGGTACTTTCAATCTATGGACTGCTAGCAAACAACCATTTTTTAGGTTTGTTTGGAATGTTTGGCTGAGCTTTGCCATGCTAAAACCACGAGTAAAGAAAACCAAGTTTTGCCAGGAAATAATAGCCTTAGCCCTTACTAACACCATGCATTAAAACTTGTAAAATTTAACCAACTTTCTGCATTTAGATATTGTTTGCGCAGATGCTAAGCCGCTGTGGACAGACATGCAAGCAAGGTACACTCACTATAGAGTCTCTTGTATTAGGGCCAAACCAGGAGAGAAACACTGCACACATTATGCTTTGATAGCCACTGCATTCCAATATTCTCCTCACTGGTGCCCGATAGAGCAAATGCCTTTCACTGCATGCAGTTGGTGCCCATGCCAAGATCCTCCAGTTGTTTTAAACAGCTGGTGTGCACACCCCCACTTCTTGCATACAAAAACAAGCATGCACGATGATGTCAGCCCATACGATGCTGTTGCTTTGGTGATAAGTTGCATCTTGGAACGGCTCCAAACTGCTTGGCAAATCTCGTAATTTTGATTAAACTCAGCCATGTCTCAGATGAAACAGAATTACCTGACCGCTCAACCCTTCAAATGAAACTAAGGCTTGACAACATGTGGGCTGTATCACATTGAATGAGTTCATGTCTGTAACCATAAGCAGGGGCAAAGGTTACACAAACGATCTTTTCTGAACTGTGAATGCTTTAAAATATGAAGCAAACCAAACCTAAAAATTATAATTTTCTGGCCAAAAAAGAAATGGGAAAAAGCCTCCAATATTACAGCATTTGCACGCAGGTGAAAGATCCAAAATCCAACATTTCTCTGTGCATGAGGCCTTGGCAACACTGTTACCATGGCAACAGCTGATGACAAGAAAAGAACGGGATTTGCACTAAAAATTTCATGTATGTTTTAAAGCGTGTCAATGTAATTTAAAATATATACTTCCACTTGAAGCTCATCTGGTTAACAAAGTTGCCCTAAAAGCAACGGTTGAAAAAGAAACTTCACCAAAAATTTGTGGCATGTGCTTTGCTGTTCGTTGTATTGACAAGGTTAGCTTCATTTTTACTTGATATCCTTGTATCCTGAAAAAAAAAAATCATTACTTCTTCAACAAAATGTCTGATGAATGACATACATTCTGGGCTCTCTTCAACTAATATTTTGAAACCAAAATCCATGATTGCCCATGATTGCCCATGCATGAAATAAAAGAAAACACAAGAAACATATTTACGACACTTCCACCGACAACATGACACAGTGAAACTAAACAACAAAACAAAAGCATTGAAGAGAGTAACATAAAGAAACAAAAGGATTGATACATGTAACCTCGTACACAGGGGCACTTCCGGGAACAGCAGCAGCAGCAAGCAATCTACCAAATACACAGGTAAAAAATACAGAGGGAAGGAAAATGGAAAACAGCCAACAACTCTGAGCCACACCCATGGTTAATGCATAAGTGATTTACAAAAAAAATACATGCGAGGTGCAACTCCAGGGATGTGTGTCTGCCCATGGAACGAGGTTGAGAAGATGCATCATGGGAGGGAGAAAACCTTGATCCCACTGATGAGTTTACAGGGGACTGTACACTTGTTCCCTGGGTAGGAAGTTATGAATGGTCGGGTATTAAGGACCAGAGGAACTTACAAATAATGATAGAGAACTCCGTACTGAGGCAGCCTGTAGATGGAGTATGGCAAATACAAAGATTAAACGAGACAATCTCTCAACAGAAAACACACAAGACTTCCACAAATCTCAGCAGATAAAATTGAGCACTTCCAACAAAAGCCCTCATTATGTTGGCAACTTCATTAAAACAAAAACACATGAAAAAAAAACCACAAATTCTGCAAGCATTTATGAATGTGCGTACACTTCAGGCCAACGACCAGCTTGGTGGGAGGTAGGGCCTTGTTTAAAAAAAAAAGTTGACCTTTGCATGTCTAACGAACAGCTGACTACAGATGGAAATCAAGAAACTTGGAAGTGCACTTCAAGTACTAGTTTCAGTTTTAGTAAAAGTATAACAAAGTGGACCTTCACCCAAGGTGGGGTGATGTGGGTGGGGTGGCGGTTGCATGACCCCTGACCCTTTTGGCAACCAGGCCCGAGTTTGATTGCAACTGCACGTAAGAGGTAATGTTGATTGGTACTCCTTCTTTTTATCCAGAATAAATTACAGTACATGAGCGTTTGCCTTAAAAACAAAACGGCATTAATTGATCAGTGTATTTTGAACGGGTCTCCTTGTGTCGAGTATTAACAGCAGTATTTCCCAGAGAGCTAAGCTGGGGACTTTCGCGATGTTGATTGAAAAGTGAAACTGCCTGTGCTTATCTTTACCAGAGTGGTGCGAAGCGATTGCAGTTGTGAATTTCAAAGTGATTGAGAACACACAGACTGGCAGTTGTGACAATTTTGGCCAAGATATAAAATACGGTGCCTTCTAGTACCTTAATTCATATCACACCACTGAATTGATCAACTAAGAAACTCAGGTTTATGTAGCATTGTCATGATTTTAAGACTGTGGAACCCAGTCCCTGTTATTTAAATGAAGAATAATGCTCCGGTTAGAAGTATCAAAAGAACCTGATCTTGGTCGTTTTTTGAACAATTATTAAAGTGTTATCTTTGAGTCCATCACAAGTCCAGTCACAAGTCTCTTCACAAGGCCAGTCGTAAGTAACAGGGTGAATAATGACACAAGAATCCTTTTGTCACAGCTCATTTGAATAGCTTGTGCATTGGCCTAAGACTAAATGACTTGTGGTGAACTTATAGGGGCTTGCGGGGACTTGTGATGGACTCGAATACAACACTGATTACAGTTAATTTGGCATATCTAGAGAGATTTTGACACTCCCCAATTCTCCAAATTTATATATGATTTTTCACCCAGCCTACAGTTCTGATGGCTCAATCTCCCCACGGTTTGAACTGTCACAGACAGTCAACAAAAGTTCAATGCCTTTCCCCAGATAAATTAAACTGATATATCACGTGTCACTTGACTGATTATGACTGGAAGGACAAAAGCTTTGTCTAGAGAGTATGCTTGTACATGTATTTGAGGGTTTAACAGAAACCTTGGAATGATTACGGCATACGCTGTGGTGACAAGACAGGGAGAGTGCTGTGACAGCATGAGCAAGGTTTGATGACTGGAAGCTGCGTGTGATCGCTATGTAAAAAGCAATCATGCGACATTGAGATGCAGTGCACTCTTCCGTAGGTTGGATCGTTCCAGCCTCGGTTCTGTGGCACTATGAATCGCTCCTTTCTCAGCTGATGTTTGGATGATCCTCACTCAACATGCCATTTGATCAACGTTTCATCAACACCCGGGCATACCTGTACGGAGGTGAGTGGCCCTGTCCAAGGTTGTGGGTCTGCGTGCTGGTAACGAAGGGAGCTGGGGGCACGCTGCTCCCGTCAATTGGCAGGAAGTAGTGAAGATAATCGTTGAGAAGGTTTGGGTAGAGCCAATCATCTGCATCCGTCCACTGCTGTAAACTCTGGCATCCGGATCAACAGACCAGACTAACACTCAACTTTCTCATCTGATCACAGTTAATCAATCCACTTTTTCAATAAATTTAAAAAATGCTTTTTGTGTTGCAGTCAAGTCCATCAAAAGTCTCTTCACAACATGGGGCTCAGATATAAATGGCACAGACATGTGTTTGTTCCAGTTATTTATGGTTTGATACTTGGCTTATATTTGGACGACTTGTGGAGGACTTGCAGGGACTTGTGATGGGCTTCATTGGAACACTTTTCAAAGAGTTACATCTGTCATCAATTCACTGACAATCAACTTGACCAAATATCAAATTGATTGACAAATAATCTCGCATCTAGTCCAAAATGACCCCATCGATCACAGTATGCCTCTAATTGTATATGCTCCCACCGGACCAATTTATTGATGCATAAAGTCAGTTCCACAGTCAATCATATCAAGATGAATATGAGAGAGAGCACAGTGTGTAAGGAAAAAAGACAAAAGCCCCAAAACACCTGCTGTGAGTGGTGCTCTTTACGGACAAATTAACGCACACACATACCTCTTGTTTATGTCGATGCACTATCAGATAGGCAAAGTTGTACATAAAATACTCAAATGCAGCTAAAGGCACAAATGTCAAAGAAAATAAACCCAGCTGAAGCCTTCAAGGCCATGGTATAATGTAAGTAACATCTATGTTCAAATTCTGCTCATGTACATAAATTGTAAAGTGAACTGCCTGTTAGCTCCAACGACAGCAAACTCAAATGTATTCGGGCCATAGTTGTGGGGACAAAATACCTGTTGTACAAGCCTTTTGCAAGTTAAATTTGAATAAAATCTGGTGCACTGAGTTCATTAAATTCAAGTAACCATAACAGTTTGAATTTTCCATACTAAAGACATTGTGCTACAGCTATACCTTGTGATTTGGTGCTTACTTACATAAGAGACACCTTGCACCGATACACTGCTTTCAATGGATAAGAAGGGCACAAAGAAACCAGTCCATTCCAGAGATGGTGGTCACAATGTAACGTCTTTAGTCTGGGGAATTTAAGTTTTTATGTTTACGTGCTATCAGAGTTAACTCAGTGTACCAGATTTTATTCAAATTAACTTACAGAAGGCTTACTGTGGGAGTAAGTTTGGTGACCAGCATTGCGGAGATACATTAACGTTAGCAAATCTCAAACAAAATTTTCCTGGCGGTAACAGCCTTCCCCGCAATGCAGTCGCCACTTGGGCAACAAAATGTACACGACTTGGAGAGGCACAAAGTAGCTCTGTGAAGATGAGCTCCGTCGGTGATGGACTTTGGCAAAAGGATACTCAGTGATACTGTTGTGGGTAGTCTGCCCTGAGCCGGATAACCCAGCTTATGGGCATATAAACCAGGCATGGCTCCTTCTAGAATGGCGTCCCTGGTTGGGGCCTGATTGAGAAGGAAAACCACAATGTTAACATGTCAATGCATCTTCAGAGCCGACAGCTTCTAAAGGAATAAATGTTCAGTTTAGGGTGGCTTTTAGCGAGGAACGGGGGATAAGTACCTTGCAGGAGCAGGTTCAAAAAGTTGGGCCAACTTGTCGGTCGTGGCACTCAAAAACTGTAACGGTCCAATATCGGAACTCTTCTCCAGGATAATTCAATTAGAAAGGTTCAGAAATTACTGAGTAGGAGGTGCAGCATCCATGATCAGACACAGTAAAAGCAGTACGTTTAGAAATTTAGGTTCAACACTGAAAGCAAACTTTGTACTGAAATTGAGGCCTTTTGCTTGAAATTTTGTACACAAATCCTGCCTCTTTTGCAGAGATAAATACCCCATCGGCCTTTGTTTCTAGAATTAAAACCAAACACTCATTAACATGTCTTCAGTTTTTCCCCCTGGTAACATCACGACTGTATCTGGTTGAAAGCATGGCAATCGCTCTGGCAATTTGGCAGACGTACTGGCAGGTTGGAGACTGGGAACTCGTAGCGTAGTGCAGGGTCAGCCTGCAGCTTGTAGACCATGGTCATGAGATGGCCGTGGGGGGACAGGAACTCATGCAACATCCGGTAGTCATCCCTGAAGGTCTGCTGGGTGGCAGCGTGCAGGCCCCAGCCCGGGTTCTGGTTGTAGCCAAAGATGCTGTCCAGCAGCAGAGGGTATACACTGTGAAGCTCCTATGGGGGAGGGTAAAAATGGCTCGCTTTTGGCAAAAATGTACCCGCAGGACAGAGGGGTGCTCCAGTCACAAATACCACTTCAACAAGATAATGACAGACTGTGAAAGTTGACGTGAGAATGTCTTAGAAATTGAAAATGGAAGAAAATGTACCATGGAATGGAAATGCTTCTCTCATAAAATCTGCTGCTCTACAGCATAATGATAGACTGTGAAATTGGACAGATTGAGGTTCTTTGGGGATGAAAATGAGTGGTTTGGAAGAAAACATATCATGGAATGGATCAGTACTTCTATCATAGACACCACTGCCAAAGCAGGATAACAGCGTCCTTTAGACTGTGAACTTTGACCGGTCAAGAAGTGCTGATGCAATCAAAATACATAATTGTGTTAAAAATTTAGGGATTGCTGTCAACTCTACATGTACCTTGTGGACTGCATGAGTATTAATATAGAGGATTTTCAGTCCTGTGATTTTTGACGGTCAGCGTACAATTTATACAGATATGTGCGGAAATGCGCACGCACATTCAAAGTCTGTCAACACTCCTGCGTACATGAAATTGCCAATACATGTAGAAATACCCAGATTTGAAAATACGGACACAGTACTCTTCCTAAAATGCCCTTTGCTGCCCGTCATGTTACGTCACATGAAAATCCTCTACACAAGTCCCTACCGAAAATCTTGCTGTGACTAATCTACGCTTTGTCACACTGTGCAGAATAGGTTGCAAGCAGGATAAGGACAGACCGGTGATCTGTGACACAACAGATGTCCAAAGCCACATGCCGGCCACAGCGAGATACCAGCTAAGCCCACTGTCCCCAATGTACTTATGGCCCATGTGTACTTGGGACAGGCCCAACCACTGTCAGTAAAGTTTAACATACTCAGCTACATGCACAGAATGCATGAACAGTGTGCTATCTTGGAGAATAGATTTGTTATAAATGTGAAGTCAGTGCCAATGATAGTACAAAGCATCAACTCATGCACATCACGCAGGAAAAATACCCTTCCCTCCATGATGGGGCACCATGAAAATTCTTAAGACACAGTTAAGTAGGAACACGGTGTCAAGGTATTAGCATGTCGTATGCAGGAGGAGCTTTTATGAGGAAAAGTAGAAATTTTAAAAAAATACATAAAAACAATAGGATGACTGGTTTTTACAATTTGTATCTCATGTACAGTACCTTGCTTGATGACATCTGTATAAAGGCACCTATCTCTTCACATCGTTGCCTCATTGGCTTGTTACAGGCTTCCATCACACCGCTCTGATCAAATAAACCGTTATAACATGCAGGATTTGATTTGGCAAGGTCCAACTTTAACTAAACGTCAAGAATGTAGGCCTATAATGCCTACCTTACCAAGGAAGGAAATGAATACATGTAATAAATGGGCACATTGTAAATTTTAAACTCACGGGGATAAGCAAAAACCTATGCTGACTAGGCCTATGTTGTCGGTGTGTTGACAGTAGGCCTAATTATTTTTTTACCATAGGCCTAAGCCTTATTCTTATAGCTAATACAGCATGGGTGATTTTGCACAATGGTAGAAAGGCAGTGTGGGAAGGAAAAGGGGGCAATGTTGCTCATTTTTCCTTCCCACAATGCCTTTCTACCAATGTGTAAAACCACTCATGCCGTATTACTATTGATTAGCGAGGCTTAGTGTTTACACAACCAAGACAGTGACAATCAATAGGATACAAACGTCTCACTGTTCTTTCTGGCCCTAGACCTATTTAGTCTGGTACACAGGACAGCCTATGGAATGCCAAAGAGACATTTAATGCGATTACCGAATCGGTGATGCATTTTAGCAATCGGTGATGCATATTCACGATCGGTGATCACCATCAGCTAGTGATGCATATTCACCAGTGGTGATGATCGTTTCCATCGTCGATGCATATTTGAAAGCTGTGATTGGTTTTTACAATCGTTGGTGGACTTTTGCGAAAGCATCATAAAAACTGATCAATCCGATCACTTGCCACAGTGAGTAGCCCTAATTACTAACATTCTGGCCTTCAGTAAAAAATAAGGCATGTTACTTGTTTAAGTTGTTAGGCTTTACAATCACAAATCAGACGTTATTCACGGCATGCAAAAATTGCCTTGACTGAATCATTGAATGGAGAAATCTTTCAAGTTGCTCTGGTTTTACTGCTTGTTCAAACCTTATGATACATGCACGGTCAGCTATACAAGTTATAACTGCATTAAGCACTTGATTACCGATCTTGGCGCAGACGCAATCGCCGAATCAGTTGAGGAGAAAGTCAAATTTGCTCCAAACAAGGACGCCGCCATCTTGAACAACAGCGCCCTCTCTGGCCACTAAAGCGCATTCTTCTCCTAGTTCACGTGTTGGAGTCGGCCCTACTGACGCTCGCACGCTCCTCTCTGCCTTATGAACTAGGGATGGTACCAACTTCACCAAGTGATGCCTCAGAAGATAGCCTTCAGCAGCATGTAGCACTGTGAAAGGCAAAGAATGCTTGGACTCAGGGCAAAGCCAGGAACTTCCTCGTGGTACTTGACCAGCGACCGTCCCACCTCATCCTGCAGGACGCTTCCCTTTTGACGTCACGACCAGTGGTTCTCGGCGAGGGGTTTTACACGAGAAACCCAAGTTTGACTAGTAGTAAGAGTAGATGGTCGGCCGCCAAGGGGAACGAGGCTCCGGACCTCGGGTTACATGCCCGTAATAAGTCCCGGATTCGAACCCAAGCACGAGACGATTGATTTATTTTGTTGAATGGTAGCCCCGGGCGAGCCCCCACTTCCTCATCATAATGAAGCTTATGCTCGTTTTGTCACCCATACTAGGATGTCTCAGCTCGGAAAGCGCAAGCAGGTTGTCCAGTCTTTGCTCTCTGGTCCTCCAACAGTGCGAAGTGGGGAACTCATGGTTTTGAGGGCTCGGTTGCTGAAATCTTGGCCTCGGCTTCGAGAAGTTGGTGTCTTCTTTAAAAAACATAATAATAAAACTGCTTTATATTGAATCTGTCTCGTGATCTCTCAAGAATTCTATCAGAAAATGATGAAGAATGATTTAGGCAAGAAAAATAATTATACTTCTTTTGACACAAGATACCAGTAACAAAATAAGGCACAAGTCGCTAGAACAATTTTTGAGTGATATGCCTTTCAGAGAATTTTGTATTGTATAAATCAATGGGAATCCCCAACATTTCTTCGCCCATATAATTTATCGGTATGCCAAAGTAAGTAATACATCCAAAAAGAACATGGATTTCTGAAAATGTGCATGGCCTTGGGACTCGTGAGTTACAGATACCGACTGTCTCCATCAACGCCGTAGCCAGCTTTGGACGTGGGGGGGGCACAAGACCAGGGCCATCACAGGGAAAATAGATAAATTTGATGCTCATGTTTTTGGCGATGGGGGAAACTGTTCACTGGGGGAGCAGTCTGCCCATCGGGGGGGGGGAGGGGGCGGGGACGGGCACGATCTCCCCTGTCGGCCAGGTTTCAAATATCATTAACTGGCCCTGCCTTTGATGACCTCATTGTCTCATTCTCCAATGGCGAAAACTAAACAACCACCGTTAGCCGTCTTAAGGGATCAGCCCACAACAAAGGGGAGGGGCGCCCGGATGAGGGGATCATACTACGGGTAAGGTGAGAGATCGATAACGGCATCTGTTGTGGGAGGCGACGCGGGCTGACTGCAGGGGGCTGACTGCGGGTATTTTGTCCGTGAGGGGAGTGGAGCAGATAACAGCGACGGTGTAGGCATGTATCGATCCTGGGCGCCTAGATCGATGCCTTGGATACATTGAGAGCTGACTGTACACGAGACTCAATTAGTCGTCAATTATTCTGATTTGTTCTGATAAATTCGAATCTCCTCCAACCACGGCCATTGGCAACGTGGAGTGTAGGCCAGAGCTTACAAATAATTTGACTTCAACTCAAAGAAAGGGTTCAGTTCCTCCACTCACACCAAAAGCTTCTCCTATTCAAGCTAACCTGAGCATGCTGTTACAAAGTTTTCGGAATTTAATAATCGGAGGGCGTTGCTCTCAGGGCATTGTCTTCAACAAGCGTATCCAAATCTCAGGGAACTTACTTCTGTGACATTATGTGAGAAGCGTCAGCGATAGAGATACCATCTATGGTATTGTGCTTTAAACGCAGAATTTGGCAGGTTGGCGTTTTTGTGGTAATTTGTTTACATAATGCGTAAATACATGCTGTAATTACGCAATGCTACTTAAATTAACTGCGCTCCGTTAGGGTCTATTTGTGCGGTTTTGTCCAATTCTTTTCCCTTCGAAAGACGGAAACTCCTCGGTTTGTTATAAATAATATTTACATTATCATATCTGTTGGCTCGGTTAAACTTGTCTCCTCCCCACAATTAGGTTCGTCTAATTATTGAGATTAGATGGCCTTGTCCATCGTCAGAAAAATAACCTCTCTGCCTGGCCTCTCCACCACCACCTGCATAGAATATTGCTCAAGATATAGAGTTGAGGCCTATGCTAAAAACAGCTCCCAAATTCCAACAACTAACTTTTGTATCGACCAGATTTAAGATCTAGCTCCGTGGTGCCACCGACCATAATCCAAAAAATTCCCCCCTGCGGACGAACCACCCGTGATCCTCTGATAAATCCCCGCCCGGCATTCAATCCGTCCGGGAGATCTTGGAGACGGGCGGGGGTACATTGACGATAACACGGTCTGGGTGTCGTTGCATTGTCCGGCTCTTTGTGAAGCCGTCCTTGGACCGATCTTAGAATCTTGTCACCGTAACGGTTGTTGGTCCCGAATCGGCTCGACTGTGAAGTGAAAAAAAGACGGTTAGAAGAAGGAATCGACCCCCTCAGAGTTGGAACCCCTTTTGTCAGCACTCCCTGAGGCATCACGGGATGGATGATTATTTACTGAGCTGGTGCGATATGGTTTCTGAGACACTAACAAGGACGGATGCTTTGACGATGCCTTGATCAATCAGTAACGGCTGCAAGGTGGTAATTCTCACGTAACCGTTGACAGATGGCAAGCTGAGTCAGGCAAGTTGCCGTGGAGGGAAATTATCGCTTCGGAAATAAGTGTCAAGACTGTCATAAGGACTAGATTGGACTTTCAATCTCTGTCATCCAGGGAAAAGGAGAAGATAAAAACTACTTTGAGGATGCCAGCCACAAGATAGACAGATAACAGACCAGTGCTCCTGACATTTGATGGTGCTGTCGAGGGAAATTATCGCTTTGAAAAAAAAGTGACGAGATTGCCATCCAGTGGAACTTATAGATAAAAACTTATCAGTGCAACTGCCATCTTATGATCAGCACTGGTGTTTAGGTTGTGGGTAATCTATCAGCGTCCAGCACAGTTCTGCTGAATATACCAAAAGGACATCTCTGAGAAGTTTATTAGAGTCCGGCGTTAGACTGTCGTCGCCAGTTTTACCAACACCGGGCGACGCTAATTTCTCACACCTTGAAGACGGGGGAAGACGACCCAAGGGACCCATGGTTTATCTTCGCCGGTGGAGTGGAATAAGGCTGTCGACTGATTGGTTTAACGGTGGAACAGTTAAATATACACTCCTGGATGACTTCACTGAACGGACGCCAATATTGGGAGTGCAAATTTAAACTGCCTTTTTGTCAGCCTCACAAGGTGAGTCATAAAATGTAAAGCGATGCCCAGTGGTTGGTGTTTAAATTGGCCTAGTTTGGTTACAAAGCAATCAAATCAAGTATGGATGTCACTGTCACTCCCATGGGATGGACTAGTTTTACCAACTCCGCATTGATTCGTTTCCAGTACCGTTATTTTGGTATTTATAATTGCAAAAATGATGTATATCTTAAGCTGGACAGCCCGCCTCCCTTAGCGTCAATTATTTAAGGACTGTGTACTCAGCACGTGCTATCCCTTGAACTTCAAGTGGAGACTTTTTAATGGAAACTATAAGCATGCCTTACTTCAGATGCCTCAACAAGGCCACAGGCGTTTTTCATGACGCTGCTTAGGCAATAATTACTAAGCTTGAAAGCGCTTGCTGTTACATTCAAACGGGCTACCAACCAGAGAATCATAGTGATTTAGGTCGAGCATTACTAGTTTTCATTTGAATTCTGATGACATGAAGTGCTAAGTACAAAACACCGACTGGCACTTATGGTAACACTGGGGACGGTCAAAACCTCGTGTATGTATGTTTCTCATTTCAGTCCGTTTCTGCTGCCATTTTTGGAAACCAGAGACACTGTATTTCTACACACAGATTTCTTAGCGAGTATAGTTGAGGCTGTTTTGCGTGTGTCCGGAATTCTTAAATGGTCGACGATTTCACGAGAGGGGGTATGTGGGAAGACTGGCACACACGTTTAGGAAAGCTGGAAATAATTTCACATTTCTTAACACTTCGTATGGAAGAATTTTGGGTTTTTCTAGTTCAAAATCACTCTCTTGTTGTCGATGTCTCACGCGTTTTGAATTCACCAACCATCAATATCTCCAGCATTCCTCTTTTCTGCACACTGCAAACGCCACAGTTTCGAGACTGAACCGTCACTAAGCAACATTCCCTCAACCGCAGATTCGCAAACACAGTAATAGATGAACAAATACTGAGCTCTGCGGTAATTACTTCGCAGTCACCAAACAAACGGCGTCGACCCTGCCCATACTTAAATTGGACAACATCTCGACCGAAGGAGATTCGGACAAGACAGACCGGACCCACACCGAGACGTCACAATAATTAAAATTGTATGGGATAGTTTATTTGCCGCCCTTCACTAAACTAATTCGAATCAATAAGGAACGCTTAAAGTGGACGCCGTTTGATTCATTAGGAGATGTTTTATTTATGGAACGGTACTAGGAGCCCGTATTTAAGCAACCAATATCTGAATAATTTAAAGGAAGACTTTTCTCTACTGCTGCACAGTGTGTGTAATCGGGAGTTCTCTTAGAATCGCCTATAATGGCTACACCATTCTGGAAATTAGAACTGTCGGTTGGACAAGTATTTCATTTCAGCATTATTAACGACTCTTTCCTCGGTCAGTCTTCATATCATTGCTCAGTTGTCAATGTTGATAGGATTGTTCGAAATCGTCGACGCCTGCGTGCCGCATGAGCACCACGGCCACCAGTATAACAGATCTCGTTATTCTTATTTTCACTATCAAAGTATCATCGTTCTCACCACCTATAACCAGTGGCGTAAATCTGTGCCAGGGGTGGGGGTGGGGATGGGGAAAGGTGGTGAATGACTTGCCTGGCCATCAAAATTTGAAAAGCAGAGGGGGGCACCATATGACTCTGTATGGTCGATGTTCATGATATTGATGTACATCTGTACTATGCATTCAGAATGGCCTATTTATGGCTTTCAAAATTGTTTCCCCCTTTTTTAGTGATATGGAATGCATTTTGGTCTGAAAAATTCGTCACACTCAGCTTTAATTGTTTGCTTACCACAAAATTAATGTGGGTGGGTGAGATTCAATAGCCCCCCCCCGAATAAAGGGGGGGGGGGTATATATACCCCCATCCCCCGGGATTTACGCCCCTGCTTATAACGCAAGGCATCCATCATCGATACGATCATGGAGGGAGGAAAACAGAACCCCCGTGCATGATCAAGCCGACGGCAGCATCATAATCCATGTTACCCATATTACCAGCTGGGCATAAAACTTTCTACTTATGACGGCAATTATTACAATAAACCCACTGTCAACATGAGCATCACCACTAAGCACACCATCTTTCTCTGTGATGTAATTCACCAACACCCCCCCCCCACACACACACACCCACACATTTCTCTCTCCTGGTATGTTCCCACTAAAGACTGGATTGTCAGAACGACGAGTCTGTCTTGTTTGCAGTACCGCTTCGGGAAGGCGCTTGCTCACTCTACTTGGCGCTTTCTTTGTCCAAACCACAGATTGTTGGCCTATCGATCGGGTCTTTACAGGCCACGGGGGACAGGAGGCTTGTGGAAGCCAGCCTAGTGCCTTCTGCTCCGCCGTACGCGGGCCTTTCAATGGTGATCGATAGTCGGTGTTGACTAATCGACATAATTAACCCATCTGTGATTGGCGACCGTTACAAGGTGAAACTTCACACTGCAAGAAGGACTTTTCGCGTGCCGTAGGAATCACGCTTCAAGCTATCGAAAGCATGAAAAGCGAACCAACCCATTGGACAGTTTTCGCAATCGGACCGCAATTTTGAAAGTTAAGTTTTCGGTAGAGCATCATAGACGCTGTACGTCTGGCCATGGAGGTAATTCTACCTCCATGGTCTGGCATTGAAAGTTGCCATCCGTCGATGTCTAAAAAAAACGGTTAACGGGCCGCAAATCTAAACGACGATCTAATTTCTTTTCTGCTCCTTAGGGCCAGTTACAGTGAAACAAACACGCGTGCATGGGTGCTTCTGCATGTGCCATTTGTTTCTAAGGGCATAAAGGGGTTATTAAATCTACGGTACTCATAGTTTTTGGACTTTGAGGGAGGGTCTGTCAGTCGAGGGATAGGGGGAAAAATTACTTGCCTGTCCCCAGAAATTAAGATAATTTTTGTTTTCTTGGAAGGAAATTCCGGACAGGGTCGGTGGCATAAAAGGGTTCTTACCCTCATTGGGAGCAAAAATAAGGGTCAGTCGGAGAACTATGGAATTAAGTAAGGACTCCCTGTAAGCAAACAACCCGAATCAGGTTCGTGGCTTTTGTGTTATAATATTGGCGGTGTAGCGTGTCAGTAAACACATGACATTTTTCTTCATGTGGCTTGGCCTACTGATCCACGAGTGGATCGCCCTCTCGCGTCTGCCACGCTGTAGCGCCTCTCCGCGCTACTGTCGTCATGACGCAGGTACCCGCGGTATCAGCTGTTCCAGTCGGCCCGCTCCCGTACTCTCATTTCTCGCTCCGGGCCAACGCCGTGCTATATTTACGCATCGCTAAACGAGCGTAGCATGCCTCGCAATAAAGCCCGCGCCAGCCCACAAATAATGTCGGAAATATCCCCCTCGCTTTAATAATGCTAAGTGCGATTTAAAGGAGCCTTCTTTTCTTGCGGTTGCACAAATTTTAGGGGCTGCTGATGAATACGATGGACGAAATGACAGTGCATGTGTCGGTATTGAAGGACATACGAGGAACGCATCTATAGCTGCGAGGAGAGTGTCTTCTAAGACATCCCGAAGAAGAGGGGGGAAAAAGCAGAAAAGAAACATGTGTAGGCTGCGGGAAACAGCGAGGGATCTGTGGAGGATTGTACAGAGGACATGGTGCTGTTGGCTTCTTCTAGCAAGTCTCCATCTATCAGGTAAACAACATTCGAATCCTGACATTTTTTTCCCGCCATCCTCAGGGTTATTTTTTTCGCACCTCGAAGGCTGTGGAGAAACGGGCAGCTATTGCTGTTATTTGATATAAATGAGACGTCTGAAATGTCTCCCGAGAAGCGTGCTTCGGATGCTACAGTGGTAATAATATCCCTAATTAAAAACTGATCGCACCGTGCAGCTTGGCATTTTTTTTCTTCCCGGGTGCGATCGTGTGGGAGTCGAATGGTCTTCCTTCTACTAGAATTTCATGAATAAACACACTCTATTGATCAAGTAAGTAAATGGCAAAAATACAGCAAAAAAGGAGTAAATCAAGATGGCCGCTTGAATAATATGGCGTACCTTCAATTTGGTGCCATAGCAAATTTCGCCGTTGACTTGATTGGCGTGAGGGAGCATCAACTAACTTGTAGTTGATGATCGATTTGTAGAATAAAAGTCGATTGCGTTATTGTGTCAGACAATTGCGTAATCAGTAATGCCCAAATAATCATGCAGTAATGGCTATATCGCTAACATCAGCCCAAAATGACAGGGAAAAGACGAGAAAGCGGATACAACCATAAGTCAGATTCTCACTGCCTCCAAACGAATACGTAATCCTTGCGGGGTTCTCCATGTCAAATGCTTTGCTATACATGTATAGCCAAAGCCAAAGACAAACAGTGAAAGCGAGTTGCAAACAGAAATTAGTGGAAAGAACACTGTGTCATTCAGAATCACGTGTGTCAGATATTAATGAAAACATCAGTTGCATTGGTGCAATATTCGTGCGCGCAAAGCAGGCCCTACTACTGTTAAACAAAAGAAAAACCCTGACTGAAATATTGACACAGTATTCTTTGGACCTCGTTCAGAATTTCCCAGCAAGATTCAAACTTACCCCAACGTCCTAAATTCTGTTCTGGCTTCACATGACGCAAATGAAAGAAACCAATCTGATTACTACTGTTCAAAACTTTTCCAGATTATATCGCCACAATATTTCTGTTGGCTTGAGTGTCATTGTTTTGATAAGTAAGAAAAATATTTAATGGTGTTCTGAAATATTAAGTCCTATTGTTGGTTTATAAATCCAGTTTTATCGACACTATGTAGAATAAATCAGAATAGAGAAAAGTGTGCACATAATCGTCATTTTAAAAATATTTCTGAATAATGTGGGTAATCCCGCTTCAAGGTCATGTGAATGAAACGAGGAGCTAATAAGATGGTTTACACGCTCGACATGCACAGTGGGGCTCTTCACCCCTACGGCGTGAAACCAGCGAAGATGATTCTATTAATATTAGGTCAAAGGTCCCAGCTACAGGGGGGACTTGGCTGACCGTTGGAGCTATTCCGGGTATGGCGTGTAATACGATTCGCGGTCGCAGCCTATTTCAATGAGACCGATATTTCTTTCCTTTTTTTGTTTTGAAGATACCCAGCATAGTTTGCTGAGGGTTTGATCGGCTTGTCTGTTTGGCAAATGGCCACTGGGATGTGGTTGTTACCAGTGAAAATGATTACTTGTACATGTTTATCTTTATGTCATTTTTGTAGCTGGAAAAGATGGGATTATCCTTTTCTTTGGGCATGCAGACCCGTACACGTTTTCAAACTTTACAAGAATCCGGGACTCTATGATCTTCATATCTTCACAATGACCAACAATGTTAATGACATGCGTGTCTAATTAAGATTCGAATAACCCTTTTCCGCAGTGTTTTCAACTTTTGACAGGTCTTAGGCCTACAGAATGCTTAGGCCTACAGACTTTGCTTTTTCACATGTGTGTCATAAGGCTCTTCTTGACGATGGATTTTTTATTATCATGGTTTATTTCATTTGAATCAGCATTGTAAAAACTGAAAACATTCAAATTCTAATGCGATACCCTCGCTGCTGGATAACTTGAAAACGCTTTAGGAATCATCGTGACAATTCAGGTACTGAATGGTTTCATCTTCTCGGTATTGGAGGATTATCGGTCTTTGATTCTTTTCTTTCCTTCCTCAAGACGGCTCTTCATGAAGCCATCGCATTACGCTGTCCCTTTACCACTCCTGCAGCTGTTCCTGTCATAAGCGAGTAGGCCACACCGCCGAGAGACGGCTCATGACGGAGTAACATAATTCATATTGTATGATATGAACGCCACATGGCTGTTTTCATAATACACGCGAGATGCATCGTTGGTTTATATGTAGTCACAGTGCCCTGCGTTCGCGTGCCTATCGTCCATCGACCCGTTTCTTTGCCAACACGGGCGCGTGAGTCCACGTTCCTGGAGAGGGCGACTCGTTTTGAACCAGGCCCGGAGCTTTCAGGCATATCTCTCCGAACATGCATGATGCTGTATTTTGATGCTTCCCACGCACAATGCCCGCCTTCTGTCGCCCCAAACCCTCACGGGGAAGAATGTTTTGGTCGGCATGCCGAAGACTGAACCCAGATGAACGGCTTCGTATCCAGAGCACCAGAACTCACGACCGCCATTATGATATTTTTATTAGGACATATTGAATGACTAAAAGAATAAATGCACCGTATACTTTACAGCACGGGGAATGCTTAAATAGGCCTATATTCGGATAAATTGTCCTTACCTTGTCCACTAATTGTTGGTAAATTTGGGTAACCTTTAACCAAGACTGGAGAAGTTGCCCCAAAATGAGATTAAGCAAGTTTTCAAGCCTGAACTAGTTTCGCTTAGATGCAGAGCCTCCACAGGCTAATACCAATTGATGTTCTCGTCCCCTTTTTTCCTTGGAAGTCTGCTATCACATGCCATCTTCTTCCACAATCCTCTTTCATCCGTCTTGGTAACCCTCCTCCCTTTGCCTCAAGTCTCCTGCACCATCTGGCTCATGGTGTGCAACCCCCCTTCTGTTCGTCCCAGTCGCGCCATCCGATAGCAACTGTTGAACAAACAACATGAGTCGCAACCAAATACTGTCAGTGAAACCCTCTTTGCCCGCCAAGCACGTCCCGACCAATATTACTTTCAAATGTTAAAATGTCGCGACCGACCGGTGCCCAGACCACCGATGAGCTGGGAAGGATCGTCTGATACATCAAACACTGCTGTCCATTGTCACTCAAGCAGACTTGTCTTCGTCATCACTAAAATATCAACACCGTGATCGCTATATATTATGTTGTTTAAGAAATAGAGGACAAAAATAATACTTTAAATGCTTACTGTATTCGGCAGTCACCTTCGCTCTCAGGCGATCCCAAAAGTGGTGTATGTGTGGTCTTCTTTGCAGGGGAGTCATTTTAAAATGATTCCTCACTGAGCTTGTCTTGTCGGTTCTGCAAAACAACATTTACAAAGTTCTCTCTTCCCTGCCCATATCATTCGTAGGCTGTGTCTGTGTGTTAAGGGGGGAGGGGCACAGGGAGAGGGTGCTGTGGTACATTTAACAAGATACTAGAAAAGACTGGTATGGAGTCGCAGGTTAAAAGCCAAGTGCACATTTTACCTACCATTGGGTAAAATATAACGGCACGATCAGTGATGTCATTCTTGTCAGAGAAATAATTGCGATATTGGATTCACACCACACGTAGCACTTGGCTCAGTAAAATCACCCACAAATTTAGACATCAGAGGGAAATTTCACTGATGTTAAAATTCTAGCTTATATTTTTTTCTTAGCATGGTTTACTTCCCTGCCTTTCATGATATGCCAGTTAGCCCCACCCTGGTGCAAACCTCCATCCCTCCCGTAAGTTGTCTGTCGTGAGCACTCTAAGCGTTCTTCTCAATCATTGTCGCTTTTTTACGTTTAACAAGCCGAGCAGCCTTTCTCCAAAGACACAAGTGTCAATTAATTAATGGAACGCCCTATTTAGGGCTGAGAGCCAGCGTCGTCAATGAATTTTTTGAAGTCACCACAACAGGCCCCTACCCCAGTCAACAATCCGCAGCTCCAAGCTAGTCCACCGTTATGCTGACATGACATTGTATAGGGCTGGGTGCGTGCAGCTCAGAAAGAGCTCTGGTCTGTTCCACTACTAATTCTTATTGGACAAGTCTCTTGACTTAACTCGCGACCATAGATCACCCGATGGCGTCCCTCAATTGGAGAAGCTGATACCTTAATTATCTCTTTTATTGCTTCATTATGACAGGGTTTTCAGAGACCTTGGATACCACTTCGTTTGAAACGCGACTCCCAACCAGTGGACAATGCATTTTAATTCAGCTCAAATCGTCAAAAGAAATCATGCGAGAATACACAAACATTTTAATGTTATTATACAATCATCGCAAACTAAACGAAGTAACAAAGAGTGTGTAGATGGTGTGAAAATTGACAAGAGCTTAGAAATCTAATGTGAAAGCTCATTGCTGAGTCCAGAGATCTCTTTTCTTGAACTCAGCTTAAAACCCTTCACCCTCTGACCAAAATAATTGGCGGAGTAAAGTATACAGTCGTATAGATAAAATTGTGCAGATCTTATTTCGGTATTCTGACATGAATATAACCATTATTCAGCACGCTGAAAAGATTAACGCTTTAAAATTGCATGCGTTCGAAAAGTGTAAAGAGTTCATAGCCCATGTGCAAAGGGATACCTTTTCAGCAAAGGGATGGCGACTTTTTCCCATACTGCACCGCGAGAAAAATAGACGCTCCGTGAAAACCTCATGGTGGTGCACTATCTTTTGAATTGTTCTCTTTGTTGAGGGAACTGATTTTCGTCCTAACTTGGACATATTGGCGTTTCTAGAACTTTATGAACTTCTGCATCTGAATCCCTAGGACCTTTACCTCACTTATTCGAAACTGTTCTGAGGATTTTGTTTCTTTTTCAAGAGAAACTGAAGCAAGAAGTGTTCTAGGAGAGTCAGTATACGGCAATTTCAACGAAACAAATTCCTACGTCTGAAAAAAATTCCAACCCGAGGCTGGTTCATTAAAAAAATGACTTTTGTCAGAGATTTGATAGTCTGTGTAATTTCGTATACTCTCTGAATATCTTT